TGCAGTGGAGGATTGTGCCAATTTTACTTGAGGATAGAGGAAACCTTTGAAGGGGAAAGCTTTAGTGCGCGAGACGTGTAGTCGATTACGAATCCTCAGAAGTGGGCCATCCACTACGAAACACAGTGACTCCAGCCAGACCGCAGAGAATTGCGAATGGTCTTGAATTCTCTGAACCGAACAAAAGGATATCGTCCAGGTAAATAATGCAACGCATTCCCCATACGTAATTGATCACTGGTTCCAGTAGTTTCATGAAGTCCCCAAGGATCCAAGCTGAGGAGGCAGGTGAAGTGCCATGGTTGATCGCGTCACAGGAAACATAGAGAATGACGTCAAAAGTGGTGGAAAAGGACCTACAGGACGGGTCTTCATATCCAGTATTGCAAGCCAGTCGTCTATGTGAAGAAGGTTTCTAAGTTTGAATGCCTTCCACCTAGAAGCGATGGTATCTCATGTGGGCATTGTAGAAAGTACAGTCGATGCTACCTTAGGGACACATACCTGAGGAAAACGGGATCTAGCGCATCTGTGCATTCCGTGTTCTCTGTCCGAACATCTGGAGCACCAGAAGGTTATGGCTCACCCACTTCAGGTAAAGAGTTCGCAATAGCGAGGTACAGGGGTCAGATGGCCTGAAGTGGTTGGCGTGGCCCCGCTGTCGACCAGTCCTGTCGAACACCCCTTAGGGAGATTACCACATAACACCTTCCTCATGGAGGTTTGGGTCTTGATGAGGGAAGCATAAATGTGTTTAATAAGCTCCCTCAGGAAAGAGCGTGCCTTGTGCCCGAGGTCCCAATGTTTTGGTGCCCAGATCCGCCAACTATCTGTCAATACGGAGGAGTGCTGCTATGCGCTTCTCATAGGAGAGGCAAACATTGGTGTTTCTGACTAAACAAACATCTCTGAGCCCATTCACGAATATTATGAGCCCATTCCCGGACGGTGCTGGCCTCGTCAGGTATTTTACCCTTGAGAAGGGGTCAATAGAGTCCAGCAATTTGTCTTGGGTGTCTCTGAAACCTTTCCTGACTCCCTTGCGGGGTCGCGGCCACCCAGAGCCATAAAGGTCATCTTCTGCTGATCTAGCACAAGCATCTGTGCCACTCTGTCTGGGAGGGAATGGCATCTTTATCTAGAGGCTTGCAAAGTCACAGGTGCAGAAAGTTTGCCAGGTGTTCGAGACGGGACCAGTCTCTCGAACGTGGGTGACGGATGTTGTAGGTTACACAGTCATTGACCAGTAGGATCAAGGATCGCTTCCGTGTCTTCTTGGTCAGTAGGCACTGTCACCCTCAGCTACCTGGGGCTCACCTAGAAGAACCTGTGCACGAATGCAGAGCCATATGTGGATTCCGAACCCCAGTCGTCAGACCCCGATGCCTCCGCATGCCTCTGTTCCATGATGCACAGATAATGTTGCAGTCCTCAGGTGAGGAGGGGTCTAACCGTGGGGTCAGGGCAGGTGCCATAGTCGGCGTACTGGGTTTGGTGGGGGCTTTGTCCTTAGACCGTAGAGGTCGTGTCTTCGCTATTCCAGTGGTGCTTGCTATGATGGGGGGACCCCTTAGCAGAGACATCCCAGGCATCAGAGTCTGCCCCGTAGTTGCCGATATCGGTGAGAGGACCGGTCCTCTCCGTAAATTTGAGAGTGTTTTTTCCACAAATGCAGCCACCGTTGTGTGTATCATGACCTGAAATTCCACAGGGTTAGCCAGGGAATCTTCCATAGTGGCAAATTGTGTGACACAGAATTGGGGCTCCCCAAAAAAAGTAGACAGATTTATCATGATATGGGATACCCCTCTAGAAGGCACAAATTAGTAGGCAATTTCAGGATGCAGGGAAAACAGACCAGACTACCATAGTAGTAGGCAATGCTCACAGAAACCCCTGCAGGGTTGTAATCTTAACAGTAGCCAAATAAAATAGACTGGGGCTCACGCAGTGAACAGGCTGCAAATGCATGCCTCCACTCAGCAGCACACATACAGTAGGGGCCTCACCCCCAGTGTACAGGGTATGAACCCTTAACTGCTGGCCACGGCCCTGACGGAGAGCACTAATTTGTGCTCAAATGGTTCATTCAAGGTTATGGGAGATATTCCTTTAAGCAGTATGTCCTGGAAATCCTGTTCAGCTGTTAACAGAGGCTGTAGCAGCATGTCTCCACTCAGTAGGATAAATACAGTAAGGGGCTCACCCTTTGAGTGCAGGCCAGAGTCCTGACATAGAGCACTAATCCATGCTCTAATAGTTAAAGGGAAACTCCAGTGCCAGGAAAACAATCAATTTTCCTGGCACTGCAGGTCCCCTCTCCCTCCCACCCCCCAATTGCTGAAGGGGTGAAAACCCCTTCAGTAACTTACCAGAGGCAGCGACATGTCCCACGTCGCTGCTTCTTCCTCCGCCGCCGCTCCTCCCAGTGATTGCATCGGCCAGTGATTGCATCGGCGTGCAATGCCGCGTATGCGCATTAGAGCTCCCCATAGGAAAGCATTGAAAATGCTTTCCTATGGGGAAATGAGCGACGCTGGAGGTCCTCACACAGCGTGAGGACGTCCAGCGACGCTCTAGCACAGGTTTACTGTGCTAGGGACACGGAAGTGCCCTCTAGTGGCTGTCTTGTAGACAGCCACTAGAGGTGGAGTTAACCCTGCAAGGTAATTATTGCAGTTTATAAAAACTGCAATAATTACACTTGCAGGGTTAAGGGTAGTGGGAGTTGGCACCCAGACCACTCCAATGGGCAGAAGTGGTCTGGATGCCTGGAGTGTCCCTTTAATACAAGGTTATGGGTGAAATCCCTTTAAACAGCTTATATAAATGGCCTAATTCAACATTAACATGCAACCCCAGTAAGACCCAAAAGCCCCTCAAGCCCAAGAGAAGTGAGAGCAAGGAGGGGAGAGGGCTGAAACCAAGAATACAATAGAAACACAATAAATAACATGGAAAAAACACAGATGTACACAGTACAGAAGCACAGCAAGAACAAACAGAAAAGTATATTAAAAAAATAATACAGAGACAACCTCAAAAAAGGTAATAGAAACATAAAGTAATGGAGAAGAGTAATATTCTGACCTGTCTGCTTGATGGAGCAGCAAAAAAAGAGGAAGTGATTAGGTCATTATACCTCATGTACATCCTACTCTCTTGTGATTTTTTTCTATGTATCTTTGCTGCTGTGGAGCTAGTCATGAAGATCCTGTTGTGTTGTAAAATCAGGTTTATTCAAAATTGATATCCTTTCAGCTGTTTGCAATCTTTATGTATCCTGTTCCTTGTTTGTGAAAGGCGATGATCTTTTCTCTGTTGTGAAGGATTCTATTCAGGAGATTGGATACTTTTGAGACTGTAGAACTCAATATAAGTTGAGTTTTCAGTTGAATTTGGGGAAACCAGTTGAAGCATTCGTTGTGTTGAGCTATTTCAATTGCTTTTTATTTGATTTGTTCATTGCAAACATTGAAAGTCTGTACATTTTGACAATAAACCTCATTTTCAGTGGGGGTCAAATAATTGTGATTACAATTGGATATGTCTTTGTGTGCTGTCAAGGTCCCTCTTGGTGAGCAGTAACCGCAAAGCTTGAAACAATAAGAGGATGTTCGGAAGCATATTCATTTTAATACTATGAATGCGGCCCATCCACAAAAATGTGTTTATCTCCCCACCTCTCAAGGTCCTCGAAGTAAGGCATGCAGGAATCAGAGGCATCCTCGTGCTCTTCTCCCTCCTTTTGCGGGCTTCCGGATCCGCCACCTTGAGAGAGTTTTGGGCCCTTGCCCGTGTGTGAGAAAATTGTTGCCCAAACGTCTCCTATCGGGAATGTTTCTTAGAGGGTGCCTTCACTGCGTGGGGTATCTTTCCACTCTGGATTTAGTGTATTTGGAATAACATTTTTCCCAGGCAAGTGCAGTTACAGTAAGATGTTGATAGATCTCGGAGACTATGTGACTATTACCATCTAGGATAAAACTGCACCCCTCTTAATTCATTGTTATTTGAACATTTTTCCTGTTATAATAAATATTAATATTCTGCAACTGCCCTGATTGAAATGAGTTTTGCTAGCAAAGAAAGAATAAGAAATAGAATAGAATTAGAGAACCACCAGATAGATATCAGAGCAAAGAAACGATTAGAGAATCCATCACATACTGGTAAATTTAAAAAGGATGTATTATATCTGCTATATAAGAGTGATCACACGACGCTGTCAGTTGTGGAAGCCACAGGGTCGGTGGGTGAATGTGTGTCAGACATTCTTGTTAATAAAAGAAATATACAAACTTTGTCAAAACGTAACACTTACTACTGGCTCAAACTCATTGCAGATCTTTTACAGTTTGATAAATATGATGTTGCGCTATACTCACTAAAAGAGCAGAAGAATGTAAACAGTATGGGGAGATTAATCAAAGTGTCACTGACACTTTTACATCTACTTTTCTACAAATATGGAGTTTAATTTATTAAATCTTCATGACCAGTTGTCTGATTGACAGCCGGGGAGGTTTTCACAAAGTTAATTTACAAATGTGTTTTTATTGAAATTTCTATTGAAATCTGCACTTTTTGTTAAATGAAATACACTTTTCACACATAAAGCACCTCAAGTCCTTTTTGTGTGTGGAATGTTCCGTCAATCATCGCTTTTCAGAACACTTTGCAAAACATCCCTCAATGTACCTTGCATGAATGTGGCCCATCATTATACTCAATAATATTATGTTGAGGGACAAATCTACTGCAAGAAAGGAGATAAGAATCACGCACAGAACCCTTGAGCAAGGACTGTAGTTTCAATCAGAAATTGAAAGAGAATCTGAGTAAACCAAAAAGTTCACACTCAAATTAGTGAGCCTACAGTTGGTCATGCTAACCTTAATGCCAAAATATGTTTTGAGTGTTAGCACAAAAATGTACACATGTAGATTTGATTTGTTAAGGTCTGTGAACATGAACCACCAAAATAAATGCTGTCTTGGTGACACACTGGTAAAGCTGTGTTTTATTTCTTTTATTTAATAATACATTCTCTTCGGACAAGTCAAATATCCCCATATACCATCAAACTTAAAATGTTTATTGATGTTGTTTATTGGGCCTCTGATCAATATGTATAAAATGAATAATGAGATCATCACAATGACATAGGTTTCATATTTTTTTTTTTTTTTTAGCATAATATTTTCTAATTGCTACCAATGGGATAGGTTCATTAGAGACAGTGTTTTTGTTAAACAGCACAACCACAAAATGAAAACTGATGTGATGTATGCTGCACCCGAAATACCTTAAAGAAGCAGTGTAGGCATCGTACCCAAAATATGCCGTTGTACTGGTTATGGTGCCACAGGTTATGGGCACACTGTACCCTAGTTCTTGGTCATACGGTATTAAAGAAGTTTGAACTGGGGTCTCCGAAACACCTACAGCCAAGCCCCCACTTGCTGTAACTGCTAAAGCCGATGTTTCACGTCCGCATTAGCAACATCAAGTTCACCAATATTTAATGCTATTCATTGGCTCAAAAACATTAGACCAAGAATATTAGACCACCTGCAACCTAAAGTCATGAGACCTACTATCAGAATGTAGTCATTTTGACACTGCTCCTTTAAATATTGCATTTGCAACACCTATATATGTTAAATAACTCAGTTGGGACGTACTCATGTGTTGAAGGAAAGGTTTTCTAAAATGGTGTATGTATATATTTTCATACAAATAATAAGAGTGTTAGCTAAAGTGTTTTTGTTTGTATTTCTTCTCGTTTTTTTGGTTGTATTTTTTACAGTGAATGGAACACATATGAGAGGGATGCATTTGCAACTTACATAACTGTACCCCAAAGAAGGCTAACTTTTGTGACCAGCAGCAAGTTGTCACATGACAGAGATATGCAACATCACATGATGACTTTACTGGTATCTCAGCTATAACTTTTGTCAAGTTCAAAGTAAAGGATGCCAGGTTTTTACAGTTTCCAAAGATTAAAACTTTGTCTTTTCAGCCGGTGTGTCTTCAGCATCCACGAAGCCAATACTCAATATAAGTTAGCCATACCATGGGAACTGACACTGAACTGGGGTGAGGTGAGATTAACCATGGCACTTGCTTGCTGAGGCCTCTGGTGCATTTAGTGCGTTAACCGCAGTTGTGCCAGAGCTAAATGTGAGTTCATATCTCTCCAATGTAACAACAGGCTTCGTAAGGATCCTTAGAGATTCTGACAGCACTGAAGTTTGCCAGGTCTCTGCCCATCCATGGTTGGAGAAACGCTGATATCCACCACATTATTTCCTGGTGAATCTTCATGGGCTGACCTGTCCGCAATCTGCTTCTGTGATACAATGCGGTAGATTTCTACAGAACACAAAACAAATAACAGATACATTTCTCGTTATCAAAACATCTCAGCTACACTATTTTATTTTTAAAATATGATTTTGTTAAGAATGTATGGAAACAGTGCATTCATGAATAGGCCACATATTAGGTAATCAAAGAGTGCGTTAGTTACCGTAAGATTTGACCGTTCTTAAAAAGGTTTACGAAAGAAACCCAAATGTAAAATTAAATTAAATCAAATAAGTACCATAAGTGAGAACAAAAACTAAGCACTATCCCATCTGCCCTCCCAAATCCAACAGCCACAACCCATCCCTCCCCCCAGCCCACAGGGAAAAATCATGGCCTTTGTTAAAGTATAATAGAGAGTGTAGCGGCCTAGTATTGTGTCCAGGTTCAATGGGTAGAGGAGATGGCTAAATGGATAATAGTGTAAAACTGTTGTATTTATCTAAGATGAATCGAATTATATTGCCGGACCACAAGGTCCTTATCAACCCAACAAATGAATAAAGTAATACTTCCTGATATTTTTTTTAAACCTTTGTCCCTCTAATTTAAGACTATGTCCTCTTGTTGTGGTAGTTTTTCTTCTTTTAAATATAGTCTCCTCCTTTACTGTGTTGATTCCCTTTATATATTTAAATGTTTCTATCATATCCCCCCTGTCTCGTCTTTCCTCCAAGCTATACATGTTAAGATCCTTTAACCTTTCCTGGTAAGTTTTATCCCGCAATCCATGAACCAGTTTAGTAGCCCTTCTCTGAACCCTCTCTAAGGTATCAATATCCTTCTGAAGATACGGTCTCCAGTACTGTGTACAATACTCCAAGTGAGGTCTCACCAGTGTTCTGTACAATGGCATGAGCACTTCCCTCTTTCTACTGCTAATACCTCTCCCTATACAACCAAGCATTCTGCTAGCATTTCCTGCTGCTCTATTACATTGTCTGCCTACCTTTAAGTCATCAGAAATAATCACCCCTAAATCCCTTTCCTCAATTGTTGAGGTTAGGACTCTATCAAATATTCTGTACTCTGCCCTTGGGTTTTTACGTCCAAGATGCATTATCTTGCACTTATCCACATTAAATGTCAGTTGCCACAATTCTGACCATTTTTCTAGTTTACCTAAATCATTTGCCATTTGGCTTATCCCTCCTGGAACATCAACCCTGTTACATATCTTAGTATCATCAGCAAAAAGACCTTCTGCAATATCACTAATAAAAATATTAAAGAGAATGGGTCCAAGTACAGATCCCTGAGGTACCCCACTGGTGACATGTCCAAGCTTCGAATATATTCCATTAACTACAACGCTCTGTTGCCTGTCACTCAGCCATTGCCTTACCCATTCAACAATATTGGAATCCAAACCATAACTATTACAGCCACGCTGCAACAATGTTACAATAGAAACTAGATCATTTTCTCAATCTGAAATATACACTATGAATATGATGGATACATTTCTGAAATTGTTGATGCAGCAAACAATGACCCACATAAGCTGCTGTTTGAACAATATTTACTACAATTACATTTTTAATATCATGTTATCAGCATTAGGTAGTAGCAGCTAGTGGGTATAATTTCAAAGGACCACTATATGCACCCAGACCACTTCAGCTCAATTAAGTTGTCTGGGTGCCAGGTCCCCTAGGTTTTAACCCCGCAGCTGTAAATATAGCAGTTTCAGAGAAACTGCTAAGTTTACATTAGGGTTAATCCAGCCTCTAGTGGCTGTCTCACTGACAACCGCTAGAGGCACTTCCCACTGAAAATCACAGTGAGAAGACACTGACGTCCATAGGGAAGTATTGAGTAATGCTTTCATGTGGACTGTCTGAATGCCACCATGACCACTTCAGTAATTTGACGTGGTCATGGTGACATGAGTCAGTATGTGCAGTGTTTCATTTGAAACACTCAGTGAGAAGCCTGTGATTGGACCACACACGGCCCCCGTGACATCAGGAGGGGGCGCAAAAGAGCTGGATTCAAGGTAAGTAAAACCTTTTATTTGCAGGTTTTACTGCAAATTGAGACGTAGGCCCTCTCTAAAGGCTTATAGAAACCCTTTAACTAAGTAAACACTAATCTTTATTTAGTGTAGATCTTAGGAAATCTGATTTTCTAACATTCACAAATAAAACAAACACACTATCAAACAGTTTGAATTAAAAAAAATCTAGATCTCATGGATATCCTTGAAAACCTTCATGGTTAGCTTGTAGATGTAACCGCTATTTAATATGTATGATATATCACATACAAGGCATCAGCACCATTCACATTGCCGTTAATTCGGGACTAAACTGTTCTAACTTGTTGTAAGACTTTAATATTACGTGGAAGATATGTCAAAAGGAATTCGTTTACCTGTTAAAATATTCTTGAATGACTCCTCTACATTAGTAGAATCCAGTGCAGATGTTTCAATGAATGATAAGTTGTTCTTTTCTGTTCAAACATAAATATTTGCATGTTTACTGAGAAAAAGATCAATGCTACAATTTTATACCATATGCAATATAACAATTAAAGATGGGCTGACTACACACAATTACAGCAAAAGTGAAACTAACAAATTGTCTTTAACTCTATGGCTCCCATACATGCCTCTGGATCCCACACTGAAACTTCAACTCCAAAACCTTTTCCAAATACTGCCCGACATGCAGAACAAACCCCCAGATGTTCCAAACCATATTAACCCCTTAAGGACACATGACATGTGTGACATGTGATGATTCCCTTTTATTCCAGAAGTTTGGTCCTTAAGGGGTTAAAGGACCACTATAGGCACCCAGACCACTTCAGCTTAATGAAGTGGTCTGGGTGCCAGGTCCAGCTAGGGTTAACCCCTTTTTTTTTTTATAAACATAGCAGTTTCAGGGAAACTGCTATGTTTATATTAGGGTTAATCCAGCCTCCAGTGGCTGTCTCTTGACAGCCGCTAGAGGCGCTTGCGTGCTATCACAGTGAGAAGACGCCAGCGTCCATAGGAAAGCATTGTGAATGCTTTCCTATGGATTGGCTGAATGCGTGCGCGGCTCTTGCCGCGCATGCGCATTCAGCTGAAGAGGAGGAGAAGAGGGAGGAGAGTTCCCTGCCCGGCACTGGAGAAAGCGGTAAGTTTAACCCCTTCCTCTCCCCAGAGGCCGGCGGGAGGGGGACCCTGAGGGTGGGAGCACCCTCAGGGCACTCTAGTGCCAGGAAAACTAGTATGTTTTCCTGGCACTATAGTGGTCCTTTAAGATCACTCTTTTTTTCCCCATAGGAACATATAACAGTTATCCTTTAATGTAACACTTCCTACAAAAACACTGGAAATCTTTAACCTAATGAAAAAGGAGTGTAGAATATTGTTTACAACTGCCTAATTGTTCTTCTGGAAGAGATGCACTATAATTAATATTTTGAGAATAAGTTGATTGATTCTGGAATGAATTATGGGAAACAAGACATACTAGCCTTGTGCATTATGCATAAACACTAGCAATGTGGTACAGTTTTCAAAGAGAGATGGCAAAAGAATGTCACCTTTGCAAAGTTTTGATTATATCACAGGTTCAAGGATATGGGGAGCCAATCCTTAATGTCCATCCTTTGTAGGATATGGTGTAATTAAAGGGACAGCATATCAACATAAGCACAGTTAATAGAATTGTAGATAGGTCTCATATTTAAAGAAACACTACAGGGTCAGGAGCACAAACATGTACTCCTGACCTTAAATTTGTTAAAATCACTATTTAGTCCGCTTGGCCCCGCCTTCCCCCGTAAGTATACTAAAATCTTACCTTATTTCCAGCGCTGCGTGAGTGCGCTGGTGCTGGCTCCGCCCCTTATCAGCCTCCTTGGCTAGCATCAGAAGTGATGATCTTAGCCAATCCTAATGCTTTCCCAAAGGAAAGCATTGGATTGGCTGAGATGGTCAATTCTAATGATCTCAACAAAGGAACCGGGTCGGGGCGGAGCCAAATGCCGCCCTGGCCAATCAGCATCTCCTATAGGGAAAGTGCATGGAGACACTGAACATCAGGGCTGCACACTGTGCAGCATCATGGGTAGGTGCAGGCCTCAATAACAGTTTTCTCCTATCATTGACCTCTGTAATTGCCAACCTGTCATGACACTGCTTAGTTGATTTGCCCTCGTGCAGTACTCACACTCACCACTGTTTCTGTTTGGCACTGTTCCTGATTTCTTTTCATTAAGCACTTCACCTGGTCCTTGTTTAGCACCTTTTTAGTTTGGTTTCCCTCCTCACTCCTGGCCAGATCATTGCCTTTTGTTTCCTGTTTCCCTGGTCTCCTGTGTTCCTGGCTCCTGCTTACTGTGACTTGGTCCTGTGTCCTTCTGATCCTGCGTTACTGTGTTCTCCTGGTCCTTCGTTGCTGTGTCCTCCGATCCAGTGCTCTGGCTCCGTGGTCTCTGATTTACTACCAGCTATCCTGTCCCTGCAGCCTTGCTGATTTATTCATTCTTGTTGTCACTACATTAGTCTTGTGACTTTGGATCTGTGCCCTACCTGATACCCGTGGTAGCTGCACAATCCTACCCTAATACCTAAGGACTGTTACAGTATTTGTTGCCTGCACGATTCGTGCTTATTTTGATTTACAGTATATATTTATGGGCCTTGTCTGTGTGTGTATGTATATATTTTGTTTTACTTTCTGCTTTGGTTCCCTGTAAATATATATTTCTTGATTTAACCTATTTCATTTGTGTCTTGGCATTTATTTCTTTGCTATAGTGGTTCCCACATTTAAAGGGACAGTGCTGCTCCAGGGCAGCACCCCTTCATGTCATTACACCACCGTTAACATGGCCACTCTAAGGACACGGCTAGTCTCTCCTTTGTTGTGTTCTGAATCAGTGTGATTTGGTTCCTACCACATTCTGACAACAGCACACTCCAAGTTGTGTAAATCAAGACATGATCATTGCACTTAAAATTGCTTATAACTTCCACATGTGTAAATATTTCACAAATTGTATAAAGTCTGAAGTATTTTATAGCAGATCATCTTAACGTTTTAAACGGAATGTGTACTTCTTCCCAAATGTGAGTTTGTGATAGCACACACTTGCTAGCAACTTTTCACATGTTAAATGTATATTATGTATGATGACAGGTTTATTTATATGAAGCATATAATGTGGAAAATAAGAAGCACTTTAAGACAATTACATAAAAGGTAAAGATAATAATTGCACTTATTATATACACAAACACTTTATAATAAGGATTTAAATTTCATCTGTTACTAGTGTTTTAACACTCTATATAAAAGCCAAATCTAAGTGCTTTCAGATATGCTTAAAGGAACACCAGAGGGTCAGGAACACAAACAAGTATTCATGACCCTATAGTGTTGAAAATACCATCTAGACCCCCTGGCACCCTATTGCCCCCCTAAATATAGTAAAATCTTACTTGTATTCCAAGTCTTGTGCTTCTGGCTCTGCCCCGATCTACCTGCTTGGCTGATCAGAGGTGTTGAACAAAATCCAATCACAATGCGTTCCACTAGGATTGGCTGAGACAGTCAAGAAGGCAGATCAGGGACAGAGCCAGCATAAGCCTGGCTTATCGGCATCTCCTCATCATTGAATCAATGCATCTCTAAGAGGAAAGTTCAGTTTCCCCATGCAGAGGTTGGAGACACTGAATGTCAGTGCTGCCCCAGGAAGCACCTCTAGTAGCCACCTGAGGAGTGGCCAGTGGAGGTATCATTGAAAAAACATTTTTTTTCTGCAAAAAGCATGAAGGGAATGATTCTACTTTCCAGAACAGGGGGGAATAAGGAGAATACAGAGGGGGTATAAGGAGAATAATGAGAGGGGGATAAGGAGAATACAGAGAGGGGGTATATGGAGAATACAGAGGGGGGGGAATAAGGAGAATACAGAGAGGGGGGGAGTAAGGAGAACATCGGGAGGGGGAGGTGAGTAAGGAGGACACAGGTGTTTTCTTAATTTTTATTTGGTGTGCGTTGAAAGAGGGCTAGTCTTATACGGCGAGTGTAAGCCAAACTCTATAATTTAACTGGAAAAGTTGGGGGTCGTCTTAAACGGCGGAAAATATGGTATTCAGTAAACCTGATTTATTTTGTTTGGATTGGTTTACTTTGCCTGGTCTTTTTTCCATGTGTATAGCAGATGCATGAAAATGTTCCTACATCATCACTAAATATGTCTGGCCATTCTACATCCTAAATCCATAAAATTTGAAACGTACCAGCAAAAGCCCGTGCTTCGTCTGTTGGAACTGCTCTGAGATGCCGCAAATCACTTTTGTTCCCAACCAGCATTATGACTATGTTGTTATCTGCATGGTCTCTCAGCTCCTTGAGCCAACGTTCCACATTTTCGTATGTCAGATGTTTAGCAATGTCATAGATAAGCAGGGCTCCAACTGCACCCCGGTAATAACTGATGAAGACAAAAGGGAAGTGATTTTTTATTAAATACAATTAAGTAGTTAGTTGACTAGTATAGGTTAAAAATGTATAAAATGCATTTTGGGAAAGTTTCATATTAACAGAGACTCACATAATGTCAATGGTTATGGAAAACAATTCTTCAGATATGTGGAATTTGTATTGCCCAACGCCAGGGACATATAACTCCAGGCATGCAGATTTTTTTTTTACTGCCTTTAGCCCTGCTGTGAGAAAGGGGCAGGGTGCCTTGGGGATCAGGGATGGAGCAGGGAGCATGTGATCTGCATCATGGGTAGGCTCACTGAGTGCCAAGCCTGTGAAACAGCAATTACAGTGGCCTGCAACGAACTGAGTTGAAGACCACAAACTCGCCCCTGGACCACCAAGGACACAGGACCCCAATTAGACTTCCAGGGAAAATGACCACCCCCTTATTAGACCACGAGGGATCAAAGGCTCCTCGCTGCAAAGAGCAGAGCAGGAGGAAGACGGTAAACAAGAGCACCGCCACACACAACCTAATTACAACAATTAAAAACAGTGAGAACACACCATGCACATTACATACAGCTAGCATTCACCACACATTATAAGAGCAGAGGGTGAATTATGAATGGCAAAACTAAGACAAAAATGTCCAGTTGTGTCTGTAGCTGAGTTGAAGAATTTTTCCAGTTTAGTTTTTTTGCCTCTGTTTTCCATTTGGATTTAATTTATGAAAATTCTGAATTTAGCAGATAACCCTTTCAATGTCCAAGGCTTAAGGCAGAGTTCCCAATCTTACTAACTGAAATGAGTTTGTGTCAGGACAAACAGATTGTCATTATATACAAATAGATTGCGTACTTTATTAGTTCTTTAAAAAAAGAAAACACCCCTGGTTCTTAGATTTGTTATATTGCTCAAACTGCCACTGTATGAATGAATAATCAAATGTAATGTTTGATGAGAGATAGAGAGATAGAGAGAAAGATGAATTATAGCTTTATGTGTGAAGAGTGTGTCCTCTTTTAAATTTTACAAAAAGTGCAGATTCCAGCAGAAATTGGCACTCACAAGTAGGGAAAGGGGGTATGGGGAGAGAGATAGACATTGTGAAAATATTGGAATATGGGGAGAGGGATACAAGTGGGAAATAGGGATAGATACAAATTGGGATAATATGGTGAGTGACGCAGACAGTCAAACACAATGCACAAACAAACACTTGCACACTAACATCTGACTCTGGGATCTCTGTATTCAGTCTAAGGGAGCCTGATCTGTACATGTCCCTGCCCCCTTAAGAATAGTCATTTCTCAACAACAACAACCACCCAGAGACAGGGGACCACGAATCTCAATGACACTACAGGGTAAAAGAAATCAAAATAAATGGAAACAAAAATGGACGCCCTAACTGCAGAGGGCTCCATCCACACACGACAACCCTTAACGCACTAAAATAGCAACGTAAATACTGTACGTGAGCAAAATAGATTATGCACATGCTGTGTTAACCCTCCCTCCTTCTGTACCCCGCTCCCTTTGTTTTATGTTACATGTCAAACAAAATGCACAACTGACAATTGTACAACCCCATTATGTTCATACTGAAGGTTCCCTCTTCCTTTCTGTACGCTATTTCCTTGTCTATATGAAAATAAAATTTCAAATTGAAAAAAGAATAGTGATTTCCTGGAGAAGAGGGGAGAGGACTGACCATGAAAAGGCTACGAGGCAGGACTGGGTCCAGAATGGATAACTCAGAAATGACAGGTATACACACACATACACACATACAGCTACCCATACTGCTAGTTTTACTCGGTCAGTGCCATGGAAGTGTCTCTAGTGGCTATCAGTATGACAATCACTAGAGGTGGATTTAAACCTGCAATGTAAACATTGTTTCTAAAATACTGCAATGCTTTACATTGTGGCGTTAAAAGGACAGGACCAGTGGGGGCAGAGCATGACCTTCAAGCTATCTAGACGCAAGGTGCACAAGTTCCCGACTATTTGGCTAGTTTTGGAGTGATAATCCTGACCGCCAAGCTTCCACAAAAGTTCACTACTATTCAAATCAGGGGATCCCAGGAGAGTAACTCGAGTCCTTTTTCGAGACTCTACACCGACAGGAGCGAAAGAAACTCTTCTGCTGCCTCCTGGGGAGAGGCAGCCGATCTCCTCATTCACACTTTCATGGTACGGTCCCGCTGCACTCCTACCTACCCCAATCCTTTTGGACAGGTGGAGTATATTCCAGTCCTCACTGGAACGCTTTAAACTGTCTTTGCTGTACTTGAACTTACATAGAGTAACCTAACCACACTCCAACAACACAAATTAGAGGATGCCCTTCTTTCTGACTCAAAGGGTGTGTCTGGATGCGATTTTCATCCACTTTTGGAAAAAGCTCAGTGACCATGAAAAAGCTAACCAGCATAAGTTATGAGAAGGAAAAGGGAGAAGCGGGTTACTGAAGCTAGATGGACCCCTTTTGGGAAATACTACTTGGAAAATACCCAATTAATCTCTCACTCTCCTACCTAGGCTGAGAGCCACTTGAGCTTTGTCCTCCTCGCATAACCCACACCGACAGAAGATCTCCCGCAATTGTCACATGGATCCACAGAAATGACTTGGTCTACAGGAGTGTCGAGATAAGTGGACTACTGATCCCGGCCCTCATACAGGCTTGGAGGTGGAGAGGTGCTCCGTTCCGATTTAAAGACCACCCTGGATATGCATCAATCGTGCCACTCTGTGCTACATCAAGTCGGCTGATTCTAACTACAGACCCATCACATGAGTTAAGTTTCTACATGACGTTGGCTGATGCCATTTTCTATGTTAAATTTATTTTTCATGTCACGCAGCTCATTATTATTATTGTTTCTCTCATCTTAAGCTTTTCGTTTCAGTGTGGTACAGCGACAAAACAAAGTCACTAACTCTGCATGCAGACGTGTTTGCCTAGCTTGATTATCATCTTATTCTATAAAATTGTGCTGTACCCTCAAGTTGCCATACAATCATATGTTGCCTAATATCTATGATGCATCAGTGTATGTTCTGCACAATGTTTTGTTTTTCTATGTATACTGACACGCTTGTAATTGTTGTTGAGGCATTGCAAGACTGTTTGTAATTCTTTGCAAAGCAAAAAAAAGATTTAAAAAAAACAAAAAAGGACAGAACCACTCTCCCAGGAAATTTCATTGAGATCAAGTGGCCTGGATGACATTAGTGGTCCTTTAAAGTGTCTCTCTTTGTCCATTTGAAATGTTAGGAGGTATGCTGTTCCCCACTCAGTTACACGCTCAAAAAAACCACGCACACACACCCTGCTACCCATACGGAGCGCTTTTAGTGATATTACATAGGTTACCATTTACTTTTCAAATTTTCCCAAGCGATGATAAAGATGACACTGCATGGGAAAACCTTTATAAGGACTTTCCCAACTATGAGAGTTTATCCTGCATTGAGCTCTTGCAGGATGAAAATAGATTCATTTTATTGCATTGCGGTTTTTAATTTTTCCATCTATTTTTTTGCAAATCGGGTTTTGTTTTACTTTTTTATAAGTTGCGTTGGGATTTAGAGATTTTTATTTGGCCTTTTTTGGGGGCAGAAGAATTAGAAGAAGACTTCTGATAGTTAATGTAATTTTTTTCAACAAGTATTAGGTTTATTGGTCCCCCATCACTATTATTAGGGTGAGGAGGATAAGGTACGGGCATTTATTTCTAATGGGTGAGGCTAAGGGATTGAGGACCCCCAGCCATCTAGCTAGGGGGAGGGGGAACAATAGAATGGGTTGGTGGGGACTCTCTATCATACACAATAACATTCAAATAGCATGGAGTCAAAACATTTATTTAGTAAATATGTGTGCCAATTTGACAGATGTTGACTGCAATTTCTATAGGGGGATGAAATGTGCCATTTTCAGAAACTGATCTACTACAACCAGAGTGACAGCATGCCCTTTGGTTCGAGGTAGATCTACGATAAAATCCAATGATAGCTGAGACCAGGGAACAGAGGGCACGGGTTGTAGCAGATGTCTTTGCTTGGGAACAAATGAAACAAGATTGCACATAATCCTCAACATTTTTTCTAACAGATGGCCATCAAAAATTCCTAGATGTTAGGTCAACAATCTTACAGACTCCCATATGGCCTGCCATTTTGGAATCATGAAATGTCTGGAATACCTGTTCCCTAAGAGTAGGAGAAACAAATAGCTTATTTGCAGTAGTTTCAGGAGGAGATGGTCCGTTTGTATGGTGTTCCGGAGCTATGAAGAAACCCAGGTTCTGCTGAGTGCTATTATTCTTCCAGGAGGGACTATAAGTCTGCTTTTGTGTTATGATGACCTGGAGGTAAGTAATCAGATAGTTAAATCTAGATAAGAAGAGGGACCAAAGACTAGACATAAGTTGTTTGGTAAGATAAATTATGATCTGTTAAGATCATAATGGGGACAGCAGATCCTTCCAATAAATTACGCCACTCTTTTATGGCTAATTTGATAACCAGGAGTTCTCTATTACCAATTTCATAGTTCTCTGCAGAGGTGAGTTTGTGGAAAAAGAAGCCACAGCGATTTAAAGGTATTAGTACAGACACTTTTTGGGATAGTATTGCCCAACATCGATCTCCAAAGCATCCTCCTCCAAGATATAAGGCAGGAAGGATTTAGATGCACCAGAACTGGAGCTGAGGCAAAAGCAACTTCAAATGCTTTTCTTGCACCATGAGTCCAATCTTGATCAACCCCTTTCTTGGTCATGGCAGTGAAAGGGGCAATAACCTGAGAAAAACCTTTAATGAAACATCTGTAGTAATTGGCAAAAACCAACAAATCTTTTTATGTCTTTCAGACTGACAGTTCAAGATAGCGGTAAGTTTGTCAGGATCCATTTGAAACCCATTAGAGGAAATGATATAGCCCCCAAAATATACCTTTTGTTGGTAAAAAAAAAACATTCTTCTAGGTTGAAGTATAAACCGTTTGCTAGTAGACTTCGTAGAACAGTCCTAACGTATTTGTGATGTGTCTGAATGTTTGGTAAATTAACTAGAATATCATCAAGATAAACAATAACAAATGAGTGTAAGTATTCCCTCAAAACATCATTGAGGAAATCTGATGACGGCAGGGGTGCTACGTAAAGGCATTACATTGTATTCATAAAGACCACTTTGAGTGTTGAATGCTGTCTTCCACTCAACTCCTTCCTTGATATGGACTAGATTATAGGCTCCCCTGAGATCCCATTTAGTGAAAACAGTGTAACAATTTAGCCAGTCAAAAAGCTTGACAATAAGGAAAAAGAAGTAAACATTCTTAATGGTTATTTTATCAAGACCCCTATAGTCAATGCATGGATGTAGATCATTCTCCTTCTTTCATACAAAGAAGAAACCAGCCCCCACAGGAGAGGATGAATGCCTGATCAATCCTTTCTTTATGTCACACCCACCTGGAGTTTTTGCAGTGGTGGCAGAACCCAATTGCAGCAGAACAGCACTCCCTTACAATCACGACCCTCACGAGCACTTGGAAGTGGGTACAGGTTCCTAAAGGGTCTATGGTGGCACGGAGGCCTTTAATAGGTAGAATCCAGGAAGGGAAGAAACAGGAGGCATAGTCAGACAATCCGGAGTCGGGTCACACAGCAGGCAAGGATAGAGTTTCCGTGGGCAAGAGTTTTCGAGAGCAGAAAGCCACAGGGTGTAGACGGTCATCCTTCTCTCCTCTTTGGGAGAGGATACCCCCAATAGTAATGTCAGAGTCATCTACCTCAAGGTAGATTTGTGGTATCGGGTTGTTTGAGGATAGGAGCTTGGGTGAACAGCCTTTTTAGCTTCTCAAAGGCTTCTTGGGCTTGGGTGGTCCACGTGAACCGGTCATGTTTCTTAGTCAAGGCCGTTATGGGAGAGCATACTTGAGAAAAATCTCTGATAAAGCGTTTCTAAAAATTGGCAAATCCCAGGAAACGCTGTATTCTTGTCTTTGGGTATGGGCTACTGCAAGATAGCTGTGATCTTGCGAGGATCCATTTATATCTGTCCAGGGGTGATGATGTATCCCAGGAATTCCACGGATTCTGCATCAAAAACGCATTTTTCCAATTTTGCATACAGTCCACGTTTGCAGAGACGGAGGCTTACTCATGTGTTCTTTGTGTTCAGCAGTAGAAGAAGACCAGGATGTCATCCAGATGGATAACAATGAAGGAATCCAGTATGTCACGGAAGACGTCATTCAGGAAATGTTGGAATGTGGCCGGGGCGTTACACAGCCCGAAGGGCATGACAAGGTATTCGAAGTGCCCATACCGTGTTCTGAATTCTGTTTTCCATTTGTCCCCTTCACGGACAAGGACCAGGTTATATGCACCTCGTAGATCTATCTTCGTGAATATTCTTGCCTTCCTTAACCTATCTAGGAGCTCTGGTTGTGGCAGACCTCTCTGCCTTTGGATTATTATTTAAAACCTAATTCGTCTGTTTGTTCGGCGGTTGCCGGTTGTTCATTTGTTTCCTGCTTGCATTCATCAAAAGACGAACAACCTACCGAATGGCAGGCCACCCAGCAGGGAAGTGTGCTGCTCGTTAACCTTTCTGACCTCATTAACATTGTGGTTAACCGCAGACACTTCCAACTCCCGAACCGTCGGCTGGGTGGTCGTCGTTCGTGTGAACGAACACATGGCGGCGGCCATCTTGGACAGTTGAACGCCCAGCGGTGTTCGCCGACAAACTCATGGAACTGATTTCAGACACCACTTCCCACGAACACCACTGAAATCACCGACCATCAATCACTCTGTTCCAAATTCATACGAACGCCTTGTCGTTCAGTAAATTGACAATACACAAACGGAACTGTACCAGATAGTAGACCCATGGAGCTCATTCATTTCGTTGAACGCACAATGTACAAGACTTTAACTCCATTGCGATTGAACTACATGTATGGGATCTGAGCGCTGTTCGGTTATATTGAGCACCCAGATCTATGTGGGGGTTCCATTCGGTATATTGGGAAATATGTATTTTAATGTGTTTTTACCATTATTGTAAAATGGGGATATTCTCTATGCCTGGAGGTAATTGAGTTACTTCAAGCACTTAACCCAATTATCTCCAGGGTAGAGAGGAGGAGTTGTACTATTTGTGTGGGATTGTTTGCATTCTGTACTTGTACATTATTGGTTACTGTAAAAACTGTCTCAGTCTTCCACAAGGTCCCTATGGGAGTGTCCCTTGCTGGAAGACCTGCATAAAAGGCTGACGTGTAGCCCCCATTAAACAGATCCTGCTTGACCCTCAAAAAAAAAAAAAAAGCATTGGCAGCGTTAACCCCTTTACCTACTCGGGGTGCCGTTACACTGGTATCAGAGGTAGAGGATATCATTTTTTTTATGGTGATATTATTGAAGGCACGGTAATCGATGTATGGATGGAGTCCTCTATCTTTTTTCCCAACAAAGAATATGCCTGCTCCTGCTGGGGATGTTGAGGGTCTGATGAAACCTCTGGCTAGGCTGTTAGAGATATACTCCTTGAGATGTTTGAGCTCAGCTTCTGCAAGAGGGAATATGCGCCCATATGAGATAGGAGGGCCTGGAAGCAGGTAGATTGGGCAGTCATACGAGCATCTCAGAGGTAATTGATCAGCATTGTTCTGGGTGAAGACGTACTGGAATTCCATAGTGAGCAGGTGCATACGTGTCTTATTCAGGCAAGTGGTGGTGCAAAAAGTAGAAAAAAAGGTAAGTCTGCCTTTGATCTAGTCTATCACCAGCTTGTGGGTGCAAAGCCAGGGAAGGCCGAGGATGAGTGGAAACATCGGTGAGGGTGCAATATCTAGGTTGATGGTCTCTTTGTGGTGACCAAGGAGGAGGCAGATGGGGCCTGTTTCATGTAGTATGGGTCCTGTCTTGATTGGGGTCCCATCCACCACATACAGTGACAAAAGGTGTGACTTTAGTCGCATGGGACCTTCTGGGGAGGAAAGCTATGGAAAGCTTGGACAAGCTGGTAAAAACTAAAGATATTACACTATAAACAAAGGTCCGCATAGTCAGAACTATGGTATTCCTAGTAGTAATGTACGGATATGAGAGCTGGACTATAAAGAAGGCTGAGCGTCGTAGAAATAATGCCTTTGAACTGTGGTGTTGGCAATAACTGCTTAAAATCCCTTGGATTGCAAAAAGATCCAATAAATCCATACTACATGAAATCAAGACAAACTGTTCACTGGAAGCTATGAACGTGAGGCTGAAGCTCAAATATTTTGACCATATGATGAGAAGGCAGGATTCTCTAGAGAAGACTCTGATGCTGGGAAAGATTGAAGGCACATGAAGAAGGGGACGACAGAGACGGAGATGGATAGATGAGGTCACTGCAGCCACAAACATGAAGATGTTGGAGCTCAGAGGAGCAGTGACTGACAGATGTACCTGGCGTGCTATGGTCCATATGGTCACGGACAGTCGGACACAACTTAACAACTCAACTCCTTGTTTCCCTTCAGGTGGTGCTCCTGCAAAATGAGATATTTAGGGATTTGGATCACATCGGACCCAGGAGAGCTCTACACACTAAACTTCGATCCACTACTGAAGACGATCCTGGCAGACCTGGGGAAATGGGCATACCCACATATATCATGGTTCGGGAGAATAGTGGTTCTTAAAATGAACATCTTACCCAGACTCGTTTCAGACACTTCCACTAGCCAATTGAATAGGTGACGGATTTTTGCAATGTCCGGTCACATGATCGGCAAAATTCATAAATAATGTCTCTCATCACTGCGCATTTCCTTCAACTGATAAGTTTATAGCGATCCGTTATTCAAAACTTTCATTGAGAAACACTTTTTCAACACAAACATACAAAACAACAAACAATCCACATATTAAGAATATACTTTTTTCAATATTAAAAACACATTCGTTTGTGACCTTAAAAAGGATGAGATAGAATTAAAATGGATTAAAAAAAAACATTTAGTAGAAAAAAGGGATAATTAAAAAGGAGGGGATAATTAAAAAAAGGGGGGGAGGGTAGAGGTTAATAAAAAGGGGATTCATAAAAAAACATTTATTTCAAAGTCTATGTTCAAACCTACAGGACTTAAAGTATCTAGGTTGAACATCCATTTCATTTCTGTTTTGCTTAAAATTTTATCTTTACAACCTCCTCTCCAATGAACCTTAAATTTCTCTACCCCTAAAAATTCCAATCCCTCTAGGTTACCATCGTGTTTCTCAGAAAAGTGTTTTGACACACTATGATTCGAGAATTTTTTCTTTATATTATTTACATGTACACCTATACGAACTTTCAATTTCCTTGTTGTCTTACCTACATATTGATACCCACAAGGACAGGTAGGTAAGTATATGACATCCGATGTATTACATGTAATTAATGACTGGATTTTATATTCTTTATCTGGTGTCTTTATTGATGAAAAAGTTTTTATGTTTCTGCTTCCCTCTGTTTGACCTTACATCCGGTACAATTATCACAAAAATAAAAGCCTGTTCCATCATTTAAAAAAATATCTTTGGGTTTTCCTTTATCTAAAAAACTACTGGTTAGTATTTGTTTAAAATTCTTGGCTCCATGAAAGATAAATTTAGGTTGTTCTCCTATTAAAGAACCAATATCTAAGTCGCCCCTTAATACATGCCAATTATTTTTAACAATGTTGCCAATGGCACTATTATTGGAGCTAAAATTAAAAATGAGAGGGATAAATTCAGTTTTTGAATCAATATTGCAATTCCTTTTTTTGTAGTCCAATAGTTCATCTCTGTTTTTATACCCTATCTGCTCGCAAATTTGATCAATAAAAAAAAAAAGGATCATAACCTTTTTCCAGAAACTGTTTCTTTAAAAAGAGGGACTGATATTGATAATCTTTAAAATTTGTGAAGTTTCTCCTTAATCTGAGAAACTGTCCCTTAGGTACGTTGACAAACCAGGGTTTAAAATGACAGCTTTTTAAATCTATAAAACTGTTAACATCAACTTTCTTAAAATGGGTTTTACTTTTAATACAATCCTGATCAATAAAAATATCCAAATCTAAAAATGTAATAGATTCAGTACTAATTTGATAAGTTAACTGAATATTCCAATCATTATGGTTTAAAAAGTCTAAAAAATTAGTAAGAGAACTTTGACTTCCTTTCCATATGATAAAAATATCGGTTTGTAGAGGACTAGGCTTGCCCCAGAGTCAGCTCTGGGTAGGACAAAATTTTCTTCCCAGTGTTACATAAATAAATTAGCATAACCGATCATGTGACCGGACATTGGCAAAATACGTCACCTATTCAATCCGCTGACCCGGAAGTGGCGTAACCGGAAGTGACATACTCGGAAGAAACAGGGGATACACGTGGAGAAGAACGCGCCTTTTTTGTAGACTTAATCGAACGGAAGTCTGAAGCAATTATATAGCACTTTGAGAAAGACTATTCGTCGAAACGCGTCAGTGCAGTTGCTATATGGTTGTATATTTGAGATTTTTAGATATTTTATCTTTATTTTGTAATAAATTTGTTCCTGGTACTTCCTGTGATCGTGGTCTCGACTTAGTGGGGACCCAAAGGGAGAATTGATATCCAGCCAACTGTGGAGCATCCGGTTATTGGTGCCAACTCTTGATCCCAACAACCATATTTATTCCAAAGGCGCTTTGCTCTGAGTCTGAGCCCGCTATAGCAGGCTCAGCAAAATGTGAGTGAGACTTATTTGTATTTATACAACTTTTATGTTATATACAGAGTTCACTATGGTCTAACATTTTTTATCTTTTTAGGTATCTACATATTGATGGTAATATTGTCTGTGTGTTATATATACACCACTAGTGTGCTCTCACCAGTTTTTATATTTTTGTACATTGGTACATAGTAGTGATCCACAGTAATGTTACATACATCAAAAATTGTTGAAATCAGCTAATATATTCCATCATAGCCGGACTCTCAAAGGGGTAGGCAACCTTCGACACTCCAGATGTTGTGGACTACATCTCCCTTGGTTCTTTGCCAGCATTATTACTGTAAGAGCATTTTGGGAGATGTAGTACAAAACACCTGTAGTGCCGAAAGTTGCCTACACTTACGAGTCTAAAACAAAAGAATCCCTTTCTGTATATTTGCAATGTTGGAAGGTATGGAAATGTACACCGTGTGGCAATGGAGTAAACAAGATTATAAAAATTTCTTGTAGTTGGACAAAAAAACAGCCAGTTTGGTAAAGAAAAGGCATTTCCACCTAGCCTATTAATAGAGACACACAGTGGTAAACTCAATGACGCACTCAAGACTGATGCAGGACTAGTAAACTGATACGGAATCTAAAGTAAAGAAGCTTATGTTTAGAACTTACGCAGATGTGATGGCTCTGTATCTTTCCTGTCCTGCTGTGTCCCAAATTTGTGCCTTTATGGTCTTGCCATCAACCTGGATGCTCCGAGTGGCAAATTCCACCCCAATGGTGCTTTTGCTCTCCAGGTTGAACTCATTGCGAGTGAAACGAGACAGCAGATTACTCTTCCCCACTCCAGAGTCTCCAATCAGAACCACTGCCAAGGGAATGGAAGTACAATTTTAGTTTATTTGTAAAGTGTTAGCATATTTCACAGCATATAACAGGAGAAAAAGATGATTAGTCTACAGTTCAAAAACAATAACACAAAGAGTACACAGTCAGGGTTATTTACTAAAGTGAGAATTGTCGGAAATTCAAACTGAATTTTGAACGCCAGAATAACCACCCTGGAGAAACTTCTTCTGGATTTGGAGAATGTTTACAGTTTGGCTATTTTGGCCTTTGACTTCCTGACAATTCTAACTTTATTAAATAACCCTAAGGGTTATTCACTAAAGTAAGATTTTTCCAGAATGCAAAGTGAGTTTCAAATTTATGGCCAAACTAGCCAAACTTGGAAGCATAGCTGACTTGGAAAATATTTCAAGTTCAGTCATTGTAGACCTAAAGCATGCATTTTATTTAGAATGTCTTTATTACGCTATTAAACAGCTTTCTTCAGCAATTTGCCTTCCCCCACTGTTTTTCACACCACAAAACTTTAGAAACAGTAGAATACTTACCTGGAATCCAGCGCTGGGATAAGATCTCCTCCATGACTTCAATGCCTCTTCTTTCAAAATGCTCTGTCATCTTCTTTCTTGTTGAAGTTCCATCAGTAGCTTCTCATGGAGAAGCATTACTGGACCTACGGTGCATGTGTGGCTGTAGCTGAGCTCCAATACTCTGGCGAGTATCTCTGCTAAAGTATCCCTCAGGCTAGAAGAAAGGCCGCTGCAATGATTGTAGCCCACCTCCCCAAGTACTAGATGACACTTAGTGTAGGAGAGAATAACACATTTTATTATCACCAAGGCAGGTTTATATAGGGACATCAGCAGGATACACAAAGACAATGGGTTACCGCCCCAGAGTCTCTGAGTCTGGAAGGTAAACTAATTACTGAGCGGTAATTTTATTAAGTTGCTCCAGGCAACTGAATATTAAAACAATATAAAATATAACTTAAACATAACCTAGACACATAAATCTTACATCCCCAGATATGTCGCGTTCCCCCATGCAAAATGTTCAAAAAGCTCCCGGATCGTTGAGTGAAGTTTTATTCAGTGGGAGATGACTCTCACAGGTAGAGGGTGAGAATATTTTATGATTCAAAAAAAGAAGATGATGACTTATAAACAGAGGAGGGAGAGGGGGTACCTGGGCACATTGTGAGACTGTGCATACAAGTCACGAGCACACAGTCCAAAGGGCATCACAATTATGACATTGTTACAGTCATGTTCCTTGGGATGTTGACCATGACTCTAGTTCAGGTGTAAGCAATCTTTGGCACTCCAGATGTTGTGGATTACTTCTCCCATGATGTTCTTATATGCTGAAAAAGCATTAGAGGAAGGATCTAGGGTGCATACCCCTATTCTAGTTGTATTCCCCCCCCCTCCCCTCTCCAGCTCAGCCGCGGCGAGGGAGCTGTATGGTCTCTGCGGTCTGCTCCCTCTCGCCGCGCGCTGATGCCGGGAGCCGGAATATGACGTCATATTCCGGCTCCCAGCTCCAGCAGACAGCCCGCGCGGCGAGAGGGAGCAGACCGCAGAGAGCTCCCTCGCCGCGGCTGAGCTGGAGAAAGGCGCCCGCCCCACTGGACCCCAGGGAAAAGGTAGGAGGCTGGGTGGACATTTGTTTTTAATTGAAAATATAATAATTTGTTCTTGTGTGTGAGTGTGTGTATGTGAGTGTGTGTATGTGAGTGTGTGTATGTGAGTGTGTGTGTGTATGTGAGTGTGTGTATGTGAGTGTGTGTGTGTGTGTGTGTGTGTGTCAGTGAGTGTGTCAGTGAGTGTGTCTGTGTGTGTGAGTGTCTGTGTCAGTGAGTGAGTGTGTCTGTGTGTGTGTCAGTGAGTGTCTGTGTGTGTGAGTGTCTGTGTCAGTGAGTGAGTGTGTCTGTGTGTCAGTGAGTGTGAGTGTGTGTGTCTGTGTGTGTGTGTGTCTGTGAATGTGTGTGAGTGTGTGTCAGTGAGTGTATGTGTGTCTGAATGTGTCTGTGAGTAAGTGTGTGTACGCATATATATATGTATATATATATATATATATATATATATATACACACACACACACACACGCAGAGCCGGCGCTATCTGAGTGCCGGCTCTGCTCTAAGCCAACATGGGCCGGCGGGGAGACCAAAAGATCTACCTCACCGGCCCACAGCAGCATGGAGGGAGGCAGGAGAGGACCCAGGGAGCTCTAGACAGAAGCTCCGCCAGGTTCCTCTCGCGATATCTGAGTGTTGCTGCGGCAACGCTCAGATCTCGCGAGAGTTAACTCTAGCCCTGCAGGCTAGAGTTCACTCTCCACTGGACCACCAAGGATGGCACATGGCAGCAAGGATTTACTAATCTGCCAAATCCCTCCAAACATACAGCACACACACATACAGCACCTACACACATACAGCTCACACACACACAGTACACTAACCGCACCCTCACAAACACACACAGCACCTTTAAAAAAAAAAAAAAACGCAACACCCTCACACACAGCACACTAACAGCACCCTCACAAACACACACACACACAAACAGCACCCTCACAAATACACGACACTCACACAAACAGCACCCTCACAGGACAAACATACACACACAAACAGCACAGTCACAAACACACACACACAAACACCCTCACATCACACTAACAGCACCCTCACACACACATCACACTAACAGCACACTAACAGCACACACAGCAGTGTGTGTGTGTGTTTGTGTGTGTGGATATATCTATCTATATATATATATACATATATATATATAGATAGATATATATAGATATATCCACACACACACACGCGGCGTGTGTTTGTGCTTTAGGGTGCACACCCAAATGCAATAGGCTGCGCACGCCTATGCAGAGTTCACTAAAGTCCAAAGAGCCTTGTACTGAATGATGCAAAACCATGTGGTGCTGTACAAGGCTATTCAGATTGCTAAATCCAGACATTGTTCATAAGATTTAAATGTCTAAATTTTGGGGAGCAGAGTGCGAATGAGCCTGAATCTGGTCCCAATTTTAGCTGGACTAAAAATTGCCATACAGATGAAATCTGGACACAGATGTTTATAAATCAGAGCCTGGATGCTAATACTGTCATCACCACATTTAAATTTTAAAAAAGCAATATGACCCCTTTATTAGTATAATGGAGTTTTGACACCTCCATGCCGTTGGTGGAGACTTATCTATTAAAGTGTTCAGCTGCTAAAATCCGATTAGCTTGCTTCCCGTGGCTGTCAGAAGCCATACCATCACCACCATCACAGCCACTAGCATGCTAACATTCCAACTAACTTTATTCAAACAGACAAATCTGCTGTGGTGGACAAAGGCAGGAATACCCACCTCTGTCCATATCTTTTATCTTGTTACCTGTCTCCAACTTACTTATCTCCACTGGTACCACTAGATGTTCCTATTAATTTCTGCTCAGGGAGCAGCCAATCCTTTCCGGTTAAGGGGGTAAAAAGGGCCATACTGGGCTCAAAAGCTTTTATTTGTATTATTATTTTTTTAGTTTGTACTACCAAAGCTAGCCACCACATACTTAGCTCCCAGTGAATAGGGTTTTAATTATTTGACTGCTGGATGCTAGCCCAACATGCAAATTATACGATTTTAAATAGATTCATTTGCTAACTGCATTTGTTTACAGTATGTAAATTAGGTTTGATAAATATGCAATTATATGTGATGATTTTAAAGGAACAATTAAATTATTATTTTTTTTCATTCAGTAGATATAACCTCATTGAAAACATGCATTTATTTCTGCAATTTTTTTTTGGGGGGGGGGGAACGGACTTTTATAAACTGTAACAAATGTGACAGGCTCTAGGCACACAAAGCTTTAGCGAGTGCTTAAAGTTAGTTTTTTTTAGCCTTCTTTGATGTGAGAAGAGATGTGAAAAAATGCTGATCTTGATGGACGCAGCCTGTATAACTATCTAATCTGAACTGCTTTATGTCTGTGGAGATTCCTTTTAAAACAAACACTGGATGATTTAGAACAATGCTGCCCAAATAATAGATCCCCCAGATGTTGTAAAACTACAACTCCTATGTTGCTTTGCATAAATTTGGAATGCCTTTTGAATGGCAAAGCATCATGGAAGCTGTAGTTTTTAAACAACCGGGCATCTGCCCTTTGGGCACCTCTGGTTTGGAATTTGATTTATGCATTTGGTCTGACCAAAGTTCCACCAGATTGGCTTTAGTAAATATATGAGAATTGCTAATCTTATTGAAATTCAGTCATTTAAATGTAAGTTAATAAAGCCCTTTGTGTTACTAGACTAGCTTCTTTTGTAAAAGTTAACATTTTCAGGCATTATTATTTTTATTGTTGTTACTTGTGACTATACACACTGTCAATAAAGTGGACATTTAGGGACAGTTGTTCTTTAAGGTAGAGAGATACAATTTTAAAAGGACACTGTAGGCACTATAACTGCTTCATCTCATTGAAGTGGTATTATTGTTTGGAGTCTCCTGGTGTCATCCTTCCATTCAGCATTAAACCTTTTTTAATGTTTTAATCCTTTATGTGTCTCCCCACAGCCCATCCTTCCTGTGCTGCTCGGGCTAATAAGAAAGTAGTATCCTGAGCAGCAGTAGGCAGCTTTGATTGGGTGAGAGAGTCAGATGACTGCTTCCAGACTATCACAGCGCCCACTGCTGGTATGCTTCAGTATGGCTAGAAGGAAGTGTGTAATCTTTGCTTTAGGCATACCTCCAGTGTGGGCTGGGCTGTGTTTGGCCAGAGACCCTTATTTAGAGTTTAACATCTCAAAAATGGTTTAACATTGAATAAGAGAAACAGTGGCAGCGGACTCCAGACACTATAATCCATTCAATGAGCTTAAATGGTTATAGTGCGTACAGCGTCCCTTTAGGAGTCGGTTGAATCGCACTTTTCTTCAAACTGACAAATGAAATTTTTTTTTTGCAGATCTATTAAGCTTTTAAAATGGTTACATTTAAATCCAGTAGAGAGGATAATGTGATCAACCGTTTTGTTATCTGGCTTTGACCTAGTATAGATGTCCAAGTACAAGTCAGCAATTTTTTTATAAATGTGCAGAAGAAACTGAGAGGACCTGACTTAGGTTGATAGGGGAAGCAGGAAAACAGAACTATGAAACATCCTTCCCTTGACTGATAGTAGTATTCAAACATAATATACCACAGGGAGGAAGCATCGGCAACATTCCAAAAGAATGCCATACAGTAAATGCAACTAACATCACAAAAATAATCATCAAAGTTTCTTTAATTATTAGAATAATCATTAAAGTTTCTTTAATTATTAGATTAGCATTCTAATTGCCCAAATTAATAAAACTTAAAGCAATTTCATTTTTTCATTTTCGTATAAGCTAAAAAATTGCCCTTTTATGGCAGAGACCATAAATATTAGTTTTTATTAATATTAATTAGTGCACGCAAAAAAATGTGTGCTATTATTATGATGACATTAAGGACTCTTAGCACACAACTATAATACACTACTTGTTATATGAAATAATGATTACCAGGGCTTGTGTTGCGTCATCACTGACATGCACACGTCCCATAGTGGGATGTAAATTTAGGGCAGTAGAATGTGTTGGGGCACTTGGGGTTGTAATGTGTGTGTGTGTGCATGCGGCATAAGGGCTGTAATGTGTTTGTGGGGTGGATAGGGGCTCTGGAATGAGTGTTGGGGGTACAGGGGCTGTAGTGTGTGGGGGAAAGGTAAAGTAGCTGTAGTGTAGTGTGTGGGGGGGGGGGGAATAGTAGCAGAAGTATTTGCTTGGGAGGGTGGGAAATAGGGATGAAATCTCTGAAGGTATTTTAAAAAAAAATGATTTCTTTTTTTTTTTTTAAATCAGGAGAATCCTGATCCCTGGTGGTCTCGTGAATTAGGGAGATGATCCCCGCCACTCTCCCAGTCGGTGCATAAGAAACTATCTGAGCATTGCCATGGTTACCTGCAGCAATGCTCTAATTCATTTCTGGGACCAACTGATAAGACCGCAAGTTCCCTAGGCCCCTCTTGGCAGTGACAGTGGGCAGGCCAAAGAGGGAGCTCTTGTAGGAGATGATCATGGCCTCGGCCCCTGGCCATTGCAGTACACCTGGCTCTTGCCTGGTTTGCTGGTGGTCAGTCCGGGCCTGATGATTACTAACATCTGAGTGACTGAAGTTTTGCTGCAATTCTGTACATAGGTGACTGGGGCTATTTTGGTACTTTTGCTGTGTATTTGTTCCCCGGTAATTTTCTGCTTTCTCAGTATGTGTACCTATTACACAGTAGTAGGAGTGAATAAAATTTGAGAAAAAGGGAAAATATTGAAAATAGTTTATTTTTTGTTTCATTTATTAGTCTCGTTTGTGGATACGCCTCAGATTTCTAGGATTTCAATACATTTTTGGGAGATAAACAGTATATATTACCAGGAATGAATAAATGTAAAATATTTGCAAAATGTAATTCTTAAATACTACACCAAAGAATATGTTTGTAGGAAATAGACCCCTCAAGGTTTTAAGAGCATTTTGATACTACATACTTTTCATTTGATCACTATAATGAAGTCTGCCAAAACTGCTGGTTATTTTTATTTTTTTTAATGTTTATTTATTTTTTATTTTTTTTACACATTTACTGTATTTTTTAAATATATGGAGTAAAAAGTACTGCATGCATCGTACATGCTGATACAGCCCGATCAGGCTTGGTCATGGCCGTCTTTAACGCGGGGCAAACGGGGCAGCTGCCCCGGGCCCAGTTACTCCTGGGGGGCCCAAAGCAGCTGCCCCGTGGGCCCCGCCGACGGCATGAATTAAAAAAAAAATTTTTTAAATCAAATATTTCCCTAATGGGCCCGCAGTGCTGGCATTGCGGCTGCACCGTGGCCCGCACACTGAGGGGGCCCACCGGGTGGCCCATACATACAGTTAGGGCCACCTGGTGAGCATGTTCCAGCTGGGGTCCGGTCGGCGCTGTGGCTCTTTAAGAGTGCGACCGGGCCCCTTGCTTAACGGCTGCATGGGAGGAAGTGACGTCTGCAAATCACTTCCTACCACCTCAAAGACATCGGGTCGTGAGGGAGGCTGCTGTGCCAGTATCCAGTGAGGAGGGTGAGCAAGGAGAGCCAGACCCCCAACTACCCCAGCCAGCACACTGGACCCCAGGGAAGGAAGCCTCTTGCAAAGGTACGAAACTGAAGAGTGTCTGTCTGTCTGTGTGTGCCAGTATGTCTGTGTGTCAGTATTTGTGCGTGTCAGTATGTCTGTGTGTGTGCCGGTATGTCTGTGTGTGTCAGTATGTCTGTGTGTGTGTGTGTCAGTATGTCTGTGTGTGTCAGTATGTCTGTGTGTGTGTGTGTCAGTATGTCTGTGTGTCAGTATGTCTGTGTGTCAGTATGTATGTGTGTCAGTATATCTGTGTGTGTCAGTATGTCTGTGTGTGTGTGTCAGTATGTCTGTGTGTCAGTATGTATGTGTGTCAGTATATCTGTGTGTGTCAGTATGTCTGTGTGTGTCAGTATGTCTGTGTGTGTGTGTGTGTGTGTGTGTGTGTCAGTATGTCTGTGTGTGTCAGTATGTCTGTGTGTCAGTATGTCTGTGTGTCAGTATGTATGTGTGTCAGTATGTATGCCTGTGTGTGTGTCAGTATCCATGTCTGTCACAGTGTGTGTCAGTATATCTGTTTGTGTATGTGTCAGTATCTGTGTGTGTGCCAATGTGTATGTCTGTGCATGTATCTGTATGTAGCCAATGTGTGTATCTGTATGTTGTAGTATGTATGTATCTGTGTGTGTGCCAGTGTGTATACCTGTGCATGTATCTGTAAGTATCAAATGTGTGTATCTGCATGTGTGTCAATCTGTGTGTCAGGTTGTGTGTCTGTATGTGTGTGTGTAAATGTGTCTGTATAGCTGCATCTGTATGAGTGTGTATATCTGTGTATCTGCCAGTGTTTCTGTGTGTGTGTGTATCTGTGTGTGTGTGTGTTTGTGGCAGTGCATGTGTATATTTGCATACATCTTAGCATTCAAACGCCAACACTACACGCAAATACACACCTGCATTCAAACTTCAACACTACATATAAACACATCTCTTTTTTTTTAAACAACACAATTATATATAAACACGCCAGTGCATTCATAAACCAACACTACACATAAATGCATGCTTGCATTCAAATGCCATCTCCACAAACACAACCCGACATTCACACAAACATACTCCATACAAAAACATGCTTACACTCAAACACACAAATCCCGCTCAGTGCTAAATACAACCATTCATGGGAAAATGGTAGAGCCCCAGCTGTCAAAGCATTGTTGGAGTTGCACGACAGATGGGGATCTACCTTTTTCCCCCTCTTGCCCAAAATAATTCATGCACCAGAGCCCTCTCTACTTTATGTCCGCCTTTGCGTTGGGGTGGGGAGCTTGATTGCATGCCAGGGTGGGGACAACAGGGTTCAGGGGGCCCAAGCAAATGTTTGCCCAGGGTCCAATCAATATTAAAGACGGCCCTGGGCTTGGTGAGGGTTTTCAAAGATCTCCCTCATCTGGTCAATGCAGGATTGCAAAGCAGTAGCAGCAAGAGTCCAGGTGGCCCTCTCTCTGCTTCCCATCTGGGTCCTCTTGCGAGCCCAACCTGTCAGAGCATCATCCCATGGTGTGTGTAAACATAATGGTGACTCACCCTTGCTGAAAATCCCAGGGTTTTATGTTGATAAACTGGAGAGAAGACACTTTTAGGAGGCTCAAGCAACTAGAAATGGGTTGAAGCGACACTCAACCCCAGTAGGGTTGAAAATTGATTTAAGAAAACGAATTTCTTATTTGGATAATTCCAGGACAGCCCACATTGTTTCATTTCTCTTCTTCTCTGTATGCTTTCTCTATGCTGACTGCAGATGCAAAGCACAGAGCTTATTATAGGGTTCTGCAACCCATAGCACATGAACCATGCATGGAACGCAAGGTTTCCTTGCACAGTACTCAAGGCTGCTAGTGCCAAACAGGCTTGTCAGGTATCCCAGTGGAAGTTTAGATGTCTGCTTGTGCAAAAAGGCAGTGAGGGATAATCCACAATTTACGCATTGTAGCACTTATAGAGCAGAGGTAGTCAACCTTTTAACACCTACCGCCTACTTTTGTATCTTTGTTGATGGTAACATTTCCTTACCGCCCGCCAGTGCCGCTAGTGGGATTTTTTTAAGCGCAAGTGCAAAATTTTTTTAGAAAGGAGAGTTTAAAAAAAAAAAATGTCTTAAATGTATCTTTTTATGTCTAATCTATGCATGTTTATAATGTTTTTAACTTTACAAAGTTAAAAGTGAAAACAATAAAGTAAATTGAAATACCATTAACTGATGAATAATGAGATCCTTGAGGCTGATGCTGCGAGACTAAATATTTGATATCTGGTTAGATTTTCTTAAGGAACGTAGAAAGGTCTCCCTCTTTCTATTTTTTCCTTTTTTTTCCCCCCTTCTTTTCCTTTTTGTCTATTTATTTCCTTTTTTTTCTATTTTATAATCTATTTTTTTTCTATGTGTCTGTGTGAGGTGCTGTGTGTGAAGGGTACAGTGTGGTGTGGGAGGTGCTGTGTGTGAGAGAGAGATGCAGTGTGTGTGTGTGTGTGTGTGTGTGTGTGAGAGGTACTGTGTGTGGGGGGGCAGTGTGTGTGTATGTGAATGGTTTAGTGTGTGTTTGTGTGAAGGGTGCATAGGGTCTATGCTGTGTGTGGGTGGGTGAGATGCGAGAAAATGTATCTTAATGTCTTACCCTCTTTTCTAACCTTTGGCCAGGGAGGGGGGACATAACGCTTCAAGTCCTGGTGGTCCAGTGGTGACATGTTCCCCTTACTCTCCGGTCTTCTTGCGAGCACACTGTATTGGAGCACTGCCGCACGTTACCATGGAAAACACTTCTTCCCAGGTTTTTCACTCCCTCTGCTGGTACTAAGTGCCAGCGGGCCGGTGAGGGAGATCTTTGATCTCCTCACAAGCCCGAGAGGGCTCACAGCAAGGCCTGTGCCGCAGAACCCACCACCACCAACCATGAAACCCCAAATCACCCACTAGTGGGTGGTAGGAACCAGGTTGACAACCCCTGACTGAAAGGGCACCTAGGTTAGCAGAAATGCAAATTTCAGGTACATATTCTGCAGATCTGCAACTTCACTAGGGTGAAGCTGAAGTCTGATATACCTGCTCATTCTGATATCCATCTTCAGCACCTAGCACTTCATTTACCAAGAGCTCCGTCAATGCTGTATTCTTCACATACTGGAAAGTACAACTAAGAGGTCTATGGAAGGTCTTGCAAGACACTAGGATACTTCAATGTCAGACATGTTATACCAGAAAATATGAATATTATTGTATTATACACAAAGAGGGTCACAATTAAGAAAACCCAGTCTCATGATCCCAGAGAAGATATCTTTATTCCAACACTGTTGCTAGTGACAGCTGTGGCAATTTCAGGTTTTGTAAACTTTTGTAAACCAGACTTGGCCATTAGACACAATCGTTCCTAAAGGCCATTCAACACTTTCAATGCTCAGTATAGACTCTATACTGAAGTCAACCAAGTCACATCACTCTGGAAGGATTCAGGAGAAACCTACATGGTTACATGTATAGATGTATATGAAAGCCAACCAATCACTCTATACAGAGTTTTCAAAATGTGAGAAGGCCTTTGTATTTTGGGAATTGGAACTTTTTTATTTTATTCTGCTTCATTTGATGGATGTACATTTGGCTTTTTTTATAACAGATTTCTAATTAGCTTTCTTTGAGAAAGAAAATATGTAGTTAAAATGGTAAATATTTTTATTTTATATAATTTACCCCCACTATTGTTAATGGAAAAGGGGGTAATAAGGGACATTTTGTTGGGGAAGGGTTTGGGCCCAAGAGACAGGGCTTCTCATGGGGGCCATGAATTTCAGTTTCGCATATATTCGCTAGTAAAAGGGCTAACACAAAATGGCATTGTGGTTTCTATGATTTCATATGGAGCACATGTACTACGGCCATAATCCCTTACTAATAGGTTTCACTGCAAAGTTACGCCAGCTAGTGAATATAATTTTATAACATGACAGGAGGCTTCGTATTTGCTTAAGTCTCTCTTTACTAGAACTCCACAGCAGCACAGAAAAACAACCAATCAGAAAAAAGTTAGGTACTATAAAACCCCCTTCCCATTGCATCATTTCCTCTTTCTTTGCTGCTCCGCAGTCAGTACAGGTCAGAGTACCACTGCCTCCTGCTTATAGTAGGTGGCTTTGGGATTTAGTGTGATTTATTTATGATTGTTATTAATTATGCTTGCTTGTGAGATTTATGTGCCTTTCTGGCTCTTTTCTTTTCTTTGGGGAATGTTTCCTTTACGTTACTGATAGTTTTTCCATGTGTTTACTTACACAGATTACTGATAGTTTTTCCATGTGTTTACTTACACAGATTACTGATAGTTTTTCCATGTGTTTATTTACACAGATTACTGGTAGTTTTTCCATGTGTTTATTTACACAGATTACTGATAGTTTTTCCATGTGTTTATTTTTACAGATTACTAATAGTTTTGCCATGTGTTTATTTGTACAGATTACTGGTAGTTTTTCCATGTGTTTATTTATACAGATTACTGATAGTTTTTCCATGTGTTTATTTATACAGATTACTGATAGTTTTTCCATGTGTTTATTTATTAAGATTACTGATAGTTTGCCATGTGTTTATTTGTACAGATTACTGATAGTTTTGCCATGTGTTTATTTGTACAGATTACTGGTAGTTTTGCCATGTGTTTATTTATACAGATTACTGGTAGTTTGCCATGTGTTTACTTACACAGATTACTGATAGTTTTTCCATGTGTTTATTTACACAGATTACTGGTAGTTTTTCCATGTGTTTATTTACACAGATTACTGATAGTTTTTCCATGTGTTTATTTTTACAGATTACTAATAGTTTTGCCATGTGTTTATTTGTACAGATTACTGGTAGTTTTTCCATGTGTTTATTTATACAGATTACTGATAGTTTTTCCATGTGTTTATTTATACAGATTACTGATAGTTTTTCCATGTGTTTATTTATTAAGATTACTGATAGTTTGCCATGTGTTTATTTGTACAGATTACTGATAGTTTTGCCATGTGTTTATTTGTACAGATTACTGGTAGTTTTGCCATGTGTTTATTTATACAGATTACTGGTAGTTTGCCATGTGTTTACTTACACAGATTACTGATAGTTTTGCCATGTGTTTATTTACTCAGATTACTGATAGTTTTGCCATGTGTTTATTTCTACAGATTACTGATAGTTTTGCCATGTGTTTATTTCTACAGATTACTGGTAGTTTTGCCATGTGTTTATTTCTACAGATTACTGGTAGTTTTGCCCTGTGTTTTATTTATACAGATTACTGGTAGCTTGCCATGTGTTTTAGTCACAGATTTCTGTGAGTTTCCATGTGTTTTAGTCACAGATTTCTGTGAGTTTCCATATGTAGATATATCACAGATTACTGTGAGTTTCCATATGTAGATATATCACAGATTGCTGTGAATTTCCAGCTCTATATATATTACAGACTACTGTGAGTTTCCATGAGTATATATTCCACAAATTACTGTGAGTGTCCAGGTCTATATATCACATATTACTGTGAATTTCCATGTAGATATGTCACAGACTACGGTGAGTTTCCATCTAGATATATCACAGATTTCTCGGATTACTGTGAGTTTCTATATGTATATATATGTCGCGGATTTCTGTGAGTCCTTGGGCAGTATATACTTATATCACGGATTCTGTGAGTTATAGGACAGTGTATACATAAATCACAGATTTCTGTGAGTTCTAAGTCAGTGTATATAGCACGGCTTGCTGTGAGTCTTAGTGCTATAGATCTCACGGATTGCTGACGGTAGTTGTCAGTCCTGTCTATGCCGATACTATTCTATCTTATCAGGCTTCTTGGGAAGATTCATTGAGTTGACAATTGTTTTTGCTCTACTCCTGAAGAGACCATGAGTACAATACCCTTCAGGCGGTACGAGGATGATGATGACCTACAATAAAGATAAGATATCTCATACGGATCTGTATGTACATGTGCATTACAATTTGCACCTTAAAGAAGGTATTGCTCAGCAGAGCTTGATTTTATGGACACTCACTGGAACATGTCCAGCTTAAACCCAATACAACTGGTTTTACCTCTATGTTGCCTGCTGGGCACTTAGGGACCGCCAGTTACGGTTTATTCACACAGTAGTACGCTGTCTAAGATTAGTGTCTAAGGGTACTAGGTCACAGGATTCCCGGAGGATTTACAGATATTTAGGGGACTCTGCCAAACTCAGAGGTCCCCATTACTCATTTAAGATGAAACCCAGGATTGGCCTGCTATGTCTGTGCCCATAAGATTGGCCTGCTATGTCTGTGCCCATAAGATTGGCCTGCTATGTCTGTGCCCATAAGATTGGCCTGCTATGTCTGTGCCTATAAGATTAGCCTGCTTTGTCTGTGCCTATAAGATTGGCCTGCTTTGTCTGTGCCTATAAGATTGACCTGCTTGGTCTGTGCCATAAGATTGGCCTGCTCTACCTGTGCCCGAACTCCCCTTTGGACCACAAACCTCGGGGAATATCACTGAAGTAAGCAGAGTACCCTCTAGGTGGGTGTCCGGACAGACACTGCTACCAGATTATCCAAGAAGACACCAGGATATGGACATCTAACTGTGATTGGAGGGGTGAAGGCCCTACACCCCATGCCCTGAAGGGCAAAGTTTTTATGAGAATTCCCGGGCACGCAATTACAGGTTATACCCAACGACAACACATCTCCAATGGGAATTTCGCACAAGCAGGGAACAGTGCTCAGACGCCATATTAGGTATTAGTAGTGTTTTTCTATGTCATGTTTAGCTCCTGACCTTTTCAACTGGATTCACTTGATTCGTTTTTTTCCAGTTCTGCTATCCGACCTGCTTTCCGAGGTACGTATTTTCCACTTTCTACTTCATTGGTCATTTCTTTGTTTTCGTGCCTTCTATTGTCCTATTGCTCGGGTCGTCGAGAGGCCTGACTTGACCTCCTCCGACCTCCCGGGCACTTGTGGATTGCGGAGAACGTCTCCAGCTTTCCTCAGACTACCGACTGTCATCCTGGAGCCCGCGCGCATGCACGGGATCCGGGCGGTCCGTTGATAGTTACCATCTTCAGCTCCGAAACGTACTTTTCTCATCACCCCTTTCTCTTAAGGTCGGACACGGCCCGAGGTTGTATACTTTACTTATATTAAATAAGGGTGTAACCCCACGTTTGGTCACCCTGAGTCTCTACTGGACTCTGGTTTGGATTACAGAGGGTGCGGCCCTCCTTCACCTGATATTTTTATTTTTCAAGAGTAGAGGGCGAACCCCTCTCATTTACCGAATTGGACACTGATTCATTATTAGAGGGCGTGGCCCTCCCTCAACCTCGGCCCGATACTGAGCTGGATATAGAGGACATGCTCCGATTGACTCATTCTCATAGAAGGAACGCGGACTCAGAGTGCGATCACATTTTACAGAGTGCGACTCTCATACACTCAACGCACTAGGGTGCCGTCCATTTGTTCCTCACACAGGCTTGTACCTGTACAGGTCAACTATGACCGCATAGATGGGCGTCGCTCCTACATCCAATTTAAATATGATGACCGCGCTACTGATTTCATTCTAGAGGGCTACCTGATCGGGCTAGGTCTACATAGTTTGTCTGGATCCATCTTGTAATCCACTGCTTTGCTTGAGTAACAAGACTGGAAAATTCACATAAACGGTGTTCAGGTGCACCGTATGCATGGATCGCATGGAGAAACCGAAATTCTCAGGACTTGGCTTCCCTGGTCCTTACAATCTTGAGATAAAGTTGGCAGGACTGCTCCTACAACTCTGAACACACCTTGAGAACAGTGTTCGGACTCTATATCCATCACGGGAACCATCTTGATTTGGGTTCTCACTAGCCTTCCTATCCAACTACCATCAAGAAAACCTACACTGGGAGATACATGCTTGGACAGTCCATGAGACAGGAACCTAGGGGTCTCACTATATTATTCCCTATCTTGTAGGTGGCGTGTAGGCCAGGAACCCCTACACGAATATTGACAAGTCGGGCATGGAACAGGATTGTACAAATGGTAACCAGAGTATCTCACACTCACTGCAACACGTAAGGGCTCTTCTGTGTTATACGGTCCTAAACTCTATTGGATCCGGCCATCTTAGCACTCTTAGAGGACGATGTATTTGGATGGAAATCTCAACCCCGGTTTCCAGTCCCATCCTTTTTGAGCTTTCCAGGATCCACAATTCCCAGAATAGTTGACCACCGTTTAACACACGAGTTCAGTTTGAGACCTTGATTGGACGCCCTTTGGATGTCTTTTCTAGACCGCAGCCGTGGATTACACAGTCCAGTTGGTAGACTGGAGTCTCTTAGGATACAGCTAGTATTGTCCACACTATTATCTGTATATAACTTTATTTCGGAGGAGACAATTCACCAGGTAGGTCATAAAGGAACGAATAGACACTATTCGGTTCTATTCGAGTATTGACGTGGACTTAGGCGCAGGCCTGAGGTTGGAGTTTGTCTGCAAGGCCACATCGCCTGGTGAACCTGACACCATCGGAGGAATCACCTCTCACATCAAGAGTCGAGACACGGTGGAAGTCTCTTCTCACAACCCCTCGGCACTTTACACCTACAGGAATATGGCTAATAGGTCAACTTGGCAGCCCGTGGACCGACTCCTAGGGAACAGGTCGTAACCCCACGTACAATGGATCTATCAACGGAGGTCACTTCTCGCAGTTGGAAGGTCGATTTAGGATTGCTCTAATATTCTCGGAATGGGTACCAGTGAAACAAGCAGCGTTGGATTTGTTGGCTGAGCGTTAAAACAGCAAATACGAAGCCTCCTGTCATGTTATAAAATTGTAGATTATGCTAGCTTTAGTGTACCTATAATCTTAATTTTATTAATGACAGGAGGCGAGTATTTCCCACCCATTCTTATCCCTCCCTTGTTTAATTTTATAGTTTGGATTTATCAGGTACGTATACAACTCTGCTTGTTGTTTCTGCTACCTGTCACCTGTCCTTATGTCTGTTTTTCATAAGTAGGGTTGGGATATCTACATATTAAGGTCATTTTGTTTTGCTACATTGGGTATCTACAAGTTTATTCAAAATACATTTCATTGGATAATCAACCTGTTCGATTCTGTTTTTCTCTCGTTTCAGTTTCCAGTCCTTCAGCACTATCTGGTGTGGCGCTTCTTCGTGGATGGTGGGCATTGACTTATTTTCAGTCCATCAACGCTATCCGGTTGACAGTTCTTCTCAGACGTTGGACATTGCTGTATTCATCGTATCTGGACTTCGTTGCTTCCCATTATTTTTTCTGCCTTTGTTCTGTTTTGTCGCAGCTTGAAAGAGGAAATGATGCAATGGGAAGGGGGTTTTATAGTACCTAACTTTTTTCTGATTGGTTGTTTTTCTGTGCTGCTGTGGAGTTCTAGTAAAGAGAGACTTAAGCAAATACTCGCCTCCTGTCATTAATAAAATTAAGATTATAGGTACACTAAAGCTAGCATAATCTACAATTTTTTGCATCACCAAAAAGAGTCCAGGGCTATACCAATCGTCATGTTTATAGTTTATTTATGTTTAATATTAATAAAATATTAGACCAGGGCTTGACAAATCCCAGGCGCCAGGTTGTTATGCAACTAGGAATTTTTGTGTTTCTGTCAGTGAGTGTTTACTGTTTCACAGCGGCTGGCCTAATCCAAGGCTCGACAAATCCCAGGCTCAAGGTCGCCATGGCGACTAAGAATTTTTTCCTGGCGTCCCTCCTCCTCCTGTCTTACTATCTCTGCGCGCCGAGAGGAAGTGAAGGGAACTGTAACTACTTCCTCCCGGTGCTGAGACTACGCAGGAGAAGGACAAGCTGACAGGTAAACAGGTAAAGATGTCTCTGGTCACAGAGCCGACCGCCCATTCTGCAGAGCTGCCAGCCCGACCGACCCCACCTTCTACAGAGCCGCCTGCACGCCCGCTTACGCATTCTGCAGAGCTGTCTGCACGCCCGCTCATTTGGCAGAGCCGCTTGCACGCAAGCCGGCCCGCCCATTCCCCTGTGCTGGTTCACCACTGGGAGAAAGTAGTTAAGTTCCTTCCACTTACTCCCAGCGCACTGGGATACAAAAACAGAGGGGGGAGGGGGTCTGGAGCAGCGGCAGCCCACTCATATCAGCCGCATCAAACCCCACTATAATCTGCTCCCAGTCTCACTGGACCCAAGGAAAGCCCCTCTTGCGCCCACAAAGTAGGTAAGAAGAGGGTGGTAATATATGTATTTTTTTTTCTGTGTATATCTGTCATGTGTGTGTATATCTGTATGTGTATTTGTCTGTGTGTATCTATGAATCTGTGTGTGTGTATCAAATAAAAACTTTGAGAGTGTGTGAAAGAATGTGTGTCAGTGAGTGTGTGTACATGTCTGTCTGAGTGAGTGTACATATATCTGTGAGTGTGTCTGTTTGTGTGTGTGTGTCATTCTGTATGTTTGTGTAAATGTGTCTGTGTGTATGTTTGTGTATGTGTGTGTGTTTATCTGTCTGTCAGTACATGTATATATTTAGGTCACCAGCTCCCCTCCGGTCACATGGGAATGGTGTTTTTACATACTTTTTTTCCAACAACGTGCCTGTCTCTCTGCGGCTGGCACTTCTCCATAGCTAAGATAATCAATCTTGATTCAATGCATCTCTATGTGGAATGTTCAGCTCCTCCATGCAGAGCATGGTGATGCAGAATGAAGGTGCTGCGCATTGTGCAGCACTGAAATAGACTCTTTAGGGTCTAGGTAGCAGAAACATATAATTCTTAAAGGAAAAGGCTATAGACACCAGAGCCATTACATCAAGCTACAGTGGTTCTGGGGACTATAGTGTTCCTTTAAGAACTGTATTTTTGTTGTTGAAAAAAAAAAAACTGGCTCCTAACTTTTTTTAGCTGGCTCCTATATTTAAAGCAAATTTGTCAAGCCCTGGCCTAATCGATGTTGATGATCTCAGCTAAGCCAATGCTTTCCCATAGGAAAGTATTGGGAGGCTATTGCGCATGTGCTAAATAGCATAGCTCCTCATAGAGATGCACTGAATCAATGCATCTCTATAGGGAACATTTGGCGCCTCCATGCAAAGCGTGGAGATGCTGCATTTAGGTGCTGCAAAAGACTAGGAATCACATATAGTGGCCGTCTGAGTGACTGTCACTATTGGTCCTTCTAGGCAGCCATGTAAACACTGCCTTTTCTCTGAAATGGTGGTGTTTTATTGAAAAGCTTGCAGAGACAGGCTATATACACCAGAACCACTACATTAAGCTGTAGTGGTTCTGATGAATATAGTGTTCCTTTAAGAATTATATTTTTGCTGTTGAAAATTAAGCTTTGTTTAAAAAACAAAACTGGCTTCTAACTTTTTTTAACTGGCTCATGGTTTCCAAGCAAGACCATGACAGAGTCCCTTAAATGTAGCTACAGAAGTAGAGAGTTTATCCAAAAATATTAAATCACTTTAAAAGCATATCCAAGAATATTAAATTGAATCCTGAGTAAACTAAAATGTAAAAAAGATTGACAATAAAAAGCACACCCCATAGTTAACCATTGTGCAAAACAATCTCATGTAAAAGTTCTTATTTAACCCCTTAAGGACCAAACTTCTGGAATAAAAGGGAATCATGACATGTCACACATGTCATGTGTCCTTAAGGGGTTAAAGATTACCTATGTTTGGACATCGTAAATGGAAAACCAGGACACCGCCCTTACTGTACATGCATGATATTCTGAAAAAGAGAAAATACTAATAATGGGTGCCTCCATCTTGGACCGTGCCATTTGACCACTAGAAACAAATAAATGTGATAGAAGGAAGGTGACCATCATGTATTTCCCAAACAAAAATTAATACAATTAGCAGTCTTTTAAAAGGAAAACATAACTCCATAACTGCATATAAAGAACATTACTCTAGAATGATAAAATAGCAAATTATGAACAGATCTCCCACACGCGACTCTAAATCAGAAACAGACCTACATAATAGGATACATCTTTCTTGATTACTCTCTCACTGTGGCACAATTCCAATGTTTCCAGGTTATTCAGTATTGCAGGAATACAATGGCTGCGTGTTTGTACATAAGGAACCTGACCCAGTTATTCCTGCTAAAGCCGACCATTAAAAGGGTTCTTCAGGGGGAGAGAACTACCATTAAAAATGTATAATGTGAAACATGGCAAGTGAACGATAAAAATCTACAGCAGCAATGGCAAACATGACGGCTAATGTCAAGAAAAACGATTAATATTCTTTGTTTTCAAACTGTCCATTTACGAAATGATAATTTTGGACCCACAGAAAAAACTCTTATTTCATGATTTCTGTAACAATTAGAATAAAAAAAAATTACCAGAAAGAGGACACCGTGCTTACACTGGCAATTATAATAAAACAGGCACAACAGACTAAAAGAAGTACAGGTGATTAGCTCTTATGTTTGCTCATATCATATTTTAATGAATAAACCCCCAATACTGTCATAATGTAACAATGTTTCCACTAAAGTACAGGTGTGTCCAAAAATATGTTGTATCAGGGATCAAATTCCAAGTCCTACATTGCTAGCCAGGTCTATAGGTTATTTGCCATTCCAAAACTACTCCTACGACGTGCCCTCAGGGAATGGACAGGACAGCAGCACATGCAGACACCTTCCCTCAAATCACTCGCGCAACACCAAACTATTCATAGCATGTGGGTGCACGCTGGGCATTACGAGATATCGTACAACTGCCTCTGGACGCGATATTTGTATTCTTTTTGGTCTGATGATGAGGAAACCAGAAAAACATTATAAGAGAAGAACTTTTAAGCTATACATCAAGTAGTTTGCCAGTGCAGTCTATAATTAAGATTGTAATTATGTAGTCCTTGATCACAAAAAGTCAATCATGGTTAAGTTATGGAACCAATACCTCACTACCCAGTGTTAACCCCTCCTCTGTCAGCCAACCTCACTACCCAGCATTAACCCCTCCCCTGCCAGCCAACCTCACTACCCAGTGTTAACCCCCTCCCCGTCAGCCAACCTCACTACCCAGTGTTAACCTCTTCCCCTCCATCCACTTTTAAATAAACCTCCCAAGAGAGAAAGAGACAGATAGAAAGAGAAACTTACAGACAGATAGATATCTATATATATATATATACAGATATATAGGGAGAGAGAGAGATAACACAAAGCTCTATAGGTATTTATAAATGTGTCTGTCTCTTTTTTATTTATTTATAATAAACATATGACACTATATAATACCTAATGTGGTGAGGAAATGTTTGTGTCTGTGATGTAGTTTGTAAGTTCTAGTGTCTGAATGCTGAGGACTCTGAGGAGGCTTGGGCAGACATTGTGGGCATGTGTAGAGCTGAGTGAAGCTCAGGCACACCCAGTAAGATGTGTCATTACTGATTCTCATAGAGAATCATTGGAGCATGGCCACTGGTGGACAGACATTGTGGGCGTGTCATTACTGATTCTCATAGAGAATCACTGGAGCATTGGCCATTGGTGGACAGACATTGTGGGCGTGTCATTACTGATTCTCATAGAGAATCATTGGAGCATTGGCCATTGGTGGACAGACATTGTAGGCGTGTCATTACTGATTATCATAGAGAATCACTGGAGCGTGGCCATTGGTGGACAGACATTGTTGGCGTGTCATTACGGATTCTCATAGAGAATCATTGGCGCATGGCCATTGGTGGACAGACATTGTAAGCATGTCATTACTGATTATCATAGAGAATCACTGGAGCGTGGCCATTGGTGGACAGACATTGTGGGCGTGTCATTACGGATTCTCATAGAGAATCATTGGCTCGTGGCCATTGGTGGACAGACATTGTAGGCATGTCATTACTGATTATCATAGAGAATCACTGGCGCATGGCCATTGGTGGACAGTATTTGCAAAAAAAAAAGAGTAAAATGCACACACTAAAAAAGGGGGGAATACTTTCTGCAGGGTGCTCCAGAAAGGGAGGGAAAGGAGGAGGAGAGTCCCCAGTGCCGAGGGAGCCCAGCGCTGGAGAAAGGTAAGTGTTTAACCCCTTCCTCTCCATCCAGCCCGGCGAGAGGGGGACCCTGAGGGAAGGGGAAATGAGTATGTTTTCCTGGCACTATAGTGGGCCTTTAAGACTTAATTGTGGAAACACCATACAATACAAATGCACAATTGAGACAATAACTAATAAATGAACAAGAAGAATAAAGTCTTGTGAAACAAATAAATTACAAACAAAAAAGGTACAAGTGCATGAACCACATTCTAGGCAAGCTCTAGTGGAATAAATATTTATCTTTAAAGGGACATATTTATCTTTTAAGAGACATCATATTGAAGTTATAGTGTCCCCCCCTCCCCCCCGTACTGCCCCCAAAACAATATTAAACTAACTAGAATCCCTGGAAGCACAGCTTCAGGCCACACCTTCAAACCCTTTGGTTATGAGAGCCAGGAATCTTACTTACTGACTATCATACCATAACATACTGTGATGCAGTTCCTTCATATATAGAGAATCATGGAATACAATGAGGAGCATTAGATTGGCCCATCGGCCTGAAGGTACGCCTCGAGAATGACGCAACCTGACAAGAAGGTGGTCATAACAGTGCTGAGAAAGGATAAGTAATTTGTTTGTTTTGTTTTTTTTTTCATTTTCCTTTTGTACAGATGGGAGGGGGTGGGGGGGTTTAAGGGCCACTAGCACTGTAGAGTTAGGAACACAGATATATATTCCTAACGCTACAGTGTTCATTTAAGTGTCCCAGCACATCTTGATGTCACGATCCTATAAATCTCTCAGGCAAACTAAGCAGGCTCTTTTTTGCAGCATTTAAAGTACATTTCTAGTGGATTGGGTGAGGACTGGTGGCTGAGAAGTAGATTTAAACAATCTCTACAGGACTTTAAACTGTTGGTTCCCTACCCCTATTATTTATGGGAATATATTAGGGTAAAAAAAAAAATACCTATTTTAAGGCATTGTTAAAAAAACTAAAAGCAAAACAGTTCTCACCTTCAAACTTTTCATGAATGTACTGTGTAGGGGTTCATTCTGCAGCAACAGGTGGACCCCTCCCTTATCAGGAAGAGAATCTTATCCCATAAACCTCTGCACATCACAAGAGATGTTTATACCCAAGAGCAGCTAATAACTTGGGAGTCACTTGGTGAAGCTATATTGATTATGGTGCCTTTCCCAGTGTTACTAGTCAAACTGTTTGCTAATGACAGTAAAAAGCTACTGACAGTGTAGGGCTTAGCTCATTGGTTGAGAGCGATCAGCTGGTGAACTCAGCCAGTGAGCGAGTCCTGTCGTGCAGAGCGTACCTCAGGAGAGCTAATAGATGCTACATGCAGGAGCTTTTGCTCTCTATAGACTGGCACTTTTGCACTAGGGTGGCATCAGGGCACTTCTAGCAACATAATCACTAAAGCACTCTGTAGTGGCTATGGCGCTTGGAGTGTTCATTTAAATTCATATTGTTCAGTCACCTTCATTACATCTATATCACACAAAACACCCATCAGGGACACCCCATGCAGTACGCATTAGTAACTCTTGTGGCATCTAGATGGGCATCACATTCCCTATCTTCATGTCAACAGTCAATACACATACAGCACACAACAACCATTCTTGTGGAATCTACATCACAAACATACAGACATACATTTGAGCTGCATAGTATCCACATGAAATAAAACACACCTATATCAGACCTTGGATCGGTCTTTAACCTTGCATTACCTAGACTCATTATCGTGAGCACCGTTCATTACTGTATAAATTAGAACCCAGATTTAACAAATCCAAGATTGTGCCCTACTCTCCCTTCCCCTACCACATTTACTACCCCCATTCTCTCCATGTACATATGTGTGCACATGTAGGTATTTAATTGTGTCTGGGTTTTTTTTTTTTCTTCTTCTCCCCTCCCTGGAGCCCCAGATGGCCTGCTTTCATTACCTTCATATTTCTGTCCACTTCCTCATGCCTCGCTTGACATGACTCTCCATATCCTAGTAGAATGCAAACTTGGATATGGTTTGTTTTAAATAAGTTTCAAACCCCCATACCTCCTCCCTATCCTAAAAACGTCAAAACTGCTGCAATCATACAAAGAACATAAAACTCCATATAGGATGGACGTAACCTCTTTACCGGAATTAACTCGCCAACACAGGCATGACATAATGTTGTTCACCCTTATCCCTTACCCAATTCCCACAGTTCCTGACCCCGTATAGTGACAATACTCGGACTGGAATGCACTTATTTTTCCATTCATGATGTCTCCGATCATACACATATAGACCTCCTTGTGGAAGACATATTGGCCTTTAAATATACGTTGAAAATGGTTCATAGGGAAGACCATATGTATATCCAGAGCTAATGAAATGTGTGTAAGCATACCCGACATCATATTCCAAATACTGACCATCTTACACAGACTTCAGTGTTTTGATTAGTATAACGGACTCCTCCGATCCTAAGAAATCATTGCAACATTATATTGATACTATGGAAGATATCTGCAGACAAATGTTACGAGACAATCTTTTTGACAGCTCCTCCATCTGCAGTGTATTGTCAATGTACTGATTGTTGTTGTTTTATCATGTTGCGCTATACTTTATTAAAAATATGAATAACTAAAGAATATTATTTTAAAAAAAAGAAAGAAAACAGTGCCAACTTCTGACTGGAAAAGATTTAATTATTCAATATTTTTATAACTGAACAAAAGACTAGGATTGATAACAAGCTTACAAGGAACACATGTAATTAAAAATGAATTATTTTTTCTTTTTAAATTAGTTTTCTTTTAAGGTTGGGACAGAGCCTGGCTTCAGGGTATATATATATAAATATATACTATCCATCCAAAATGTTCTAATAAATTAAAAATTTTCCTTTTTTAATATAAATATTGGGGCTTGCTACACTCATTGGCATAGCAGATTGTGAAATAACTACTGCTGACGTGCAATCTATCTTTCTCACAGCTCTGTTAATAGTAGTAGGGATTTAGTAGACTAGCACTGCACTGCGTTGTTTACAATATTAGGTTTTATCCACTTTTATAATGAACAGAATTTGCATGGCCTCTAATGCTGTACATGCAATGTTTACAACAACCCTCCTTCCTGTTTCCCCAGGTATTACATGCTGTTAATTGCAAGACAATGAGGTATTAAAGGAACACTCTAAGCACCATAATTGCTATAGCGCATTGTAGTGGTTATGGTGCCAGGAGTGCCCTGGTGCACATTGTAGGCAGTCAAACTGTTTTAGAACTGTGTGACGACTTACCTGTTGTCCAGCGGCATTACTCCCTGTCACCCTGCAGGTGGTAGTGAGAGCCGGGAGCCGGGCTTAGAAAGAAAGCTTCTGGCTCTCACTGACCTGTAGTGGAGGGAAGAGTCTGTGGCGGACCCCAGGGAAGAAGTCAAACCCACTTACAACAATGCGTGACAGAGCATTCCTGGCACCATAACCACTTATACATATTGCAGTGGTTATGGTGCTTAGAGTGTTACCAGAACCCTTCTTCACCCCTGGCATTTAACAATTATAAAAAATGATACTGTCTTAAAGAGAAAAATGTAGCATCATAAGTGGGCAGAATTCCTGGGCCTAGTGCAGCTGGCTGGCCATTTGTTCCAATGTAGAGATGGCACTGCCAGCAGACGCAGATGGCAATTAGCACTGCATTATGCTTGGCGCTTTTCTGTAACTCAGAGTGCTGAATGGACAGCACTGAGACTACAAAGGAATGTTTCATCACTTGCCATTGGTGCAGACCACATGCTCCCTCACTGTATCTTTGATGTAATAATGGGGCACAGAGATGGACAGAGCGATCTTTTGATCTCCCTACAGTCTGTGAGTTTCCAGAGTAGAAATATTCCCATTCACTCTGTCTCCCCAGGTCCTCTCCCAGCATACGATCAACAGGAAAATGACTAAACCGAAGACATTAGCCATACATAGCAGCTGATTTCAGAAATGTAACTCTCACCAATCCCTGGCAGGCCAGACTCACCTTAAAAAAATTATATAATATAATAGATATATAACGTTGTTAGGTCAAGCCTGTATAATGGGAAAATAATGCCGTCCCAGATACTCATTCATTCAAAACATTCCGCGTGTGGTTTATTATTTTCCAATATCGCATTCTTCAATATTATACAAAATACACACATTATTTTGGTCTTCAAATTTACTATAAAATATGGTTACTTTACAGAACCCATTAAATAAAATAAAATAAAAAATGTAAAAAAAAGTTAGACAGGAAAGCATTTTTATATTTTCCTTTTTCTTCTTTTCTTTTTCACAATACAGTGATGGGAGGTGAAGATCCTGCTTCCTGTGCTTTGCTATATCAGGATCTAAAAGAAGATCTTGTTTGTAATGGGAGAGAGAGAGAGGGAGGGAGGGAGAGAGAGAGAGTGGGAGCACAAAGATACTATTTCATGACACTGATAGCACAGTGTCATGCAATACAATACTGTATACCCAGCATATAATGACAATACTGTATACCCAGCATATAATGACAATACTGTATACCCAGCATATAATGACAATACTGTATACCCAGCTGTACACAGAATTAAGCATTAGGTACACTGACACAAGACAGACCTAAATACTGATTTTATCTGACTATGCCATGTTTGCATCCCTTTAATGCCCAGCATGTTGACATTATCCCTGGTGTAGAACGTTCACAGATCCACATTCCATGAATACAGACAATGTATCAATGCCTGAGATTATTACTTCTTCCCACTAAATCCGATGTGAGGCCTGCTGGCTGCCATTACAATTATATGTATTGTGTCTTCCTGCCCACAGATCACATACATACATACATACATACCATACACATGTGTGCCTAGACCTGTACATGGATCTGGTATATATTAATGCAGGTTCCATCCTTTTAGATCCGTGTTCTTTACACGGTGTCTATTGACTCGGTATTTGCATCATAGGCAAATGACATCCCCAGCCACGGTGTCCTCCACTTACCTTTGAATAAATAATCATACTCATCGTCCCGGGTGCCCATGTCGCGATGTCCTGGGGCTGGGTCCGATAGTACTGTGATAATGGGAGTAAGGCTGAGCTCAGCAATATCGGGTGAGAACCGAACCACAGCGACTCCTCCTGGGAAGAAACGCAAACAAGAGCGAAGGATAAGGATCAGCGCCACCTGCTGGAGAGTTTACACCAGTAACAGTGGGAGAGTGGGCAATGAGACTGCTTGCTGTTGAAGACTAATTAGCCCTGGTGGTTGAAGAGATAGGGAACGCCCAACACTGTAATCTTGTATAGAATATTATATTGATTGAGCAGTCTAGAAAAAAACAAAAACGATGGCAAATAAATAAGCAATGTCTCCCAATGCCAGAGATGTATCAAGGTCATGAGGCATCATGTTTAAAGTCCTTTATTTTCACCCATCCTAAACCATAGTAGTGACAGATTTGCCATTTAGACTGCCCTGAGACTTGTTTCCTCAATGCGCTCCCATTCATTTATACTTATACATAAATAGAATATTTGCCAGTCATTGATGGGCAGTAAGAGACATACAAGAGGAAATGAAAAGCGGAAGGGAAATAGAATCCTGCCTACCGTTTATATTTGGTTTCATCAGTGTTACAGAATAAAATAAATTCTATAACAACAACAACACTGTATGAAGAGACAACATAAGTATGATAGTACCACTAGGTGCAAATACTCTCAGGCACTCCCTCCAGCGCCCAAACAACTATAATATCCACAAAAAGAGATTGCGCACTATAGCCACCTCGAAGAAATATATAAATGCTTTTTATGGAACAAAAAAAGTTATACATACAAAACAAACAAATTAACAATAAATAGGCAAATAAGTAAACAATAATAGTTACCAAAATTTCTGAAGTGTGTTTGAAAAGGCAGCCAGTAGGTGCCGAAACATTGGGGTATTGGTGGCTCGTGTTTCTGTCATATTGTTTACTTATTTGCCTATTTATTGTTACTTTGTTTGTTATGTATGTATACCTTTTTTGGTTCAATAAAAAAGATTTATAGATTTCGTAGAGGTGGCTATAGTGTGCAATCTCTTGTTGTGGACAGAATAAAAGAAAAACATTTGCATATTAACAAAGATGAAGTTGAGTGCAACAGTATAGAGCATCATGCGGCACACATACAGACACATGTATAGACATAGACTCAAATTGGTTAGGTCTTCCAATCAAATTTTATGTATCCATTTCAAAGCCGGGTACATTCAAATATTGGAACCTCTGTAGGTCCCCTGCCCGCTATGTACCTGCAGTGATCCGAGTGCTGCTATAGAAGTTGGAAATCTGCCTGAGGCACTCATACACTTAGCTCAGTAGTTAGGAAGAGGGTAAACCTACAATAAGTGAAATAGGGAAAAAAGAAACAGGATGTGGGTGGGAAGCATCGCGTATTCTAAAGTGTGCAGTGTGGTGGGCATGGTCCATGAGGCATACATTCTTTGCCTCTTGGTGTCTGATTTCTCTGAGTTGAAGTGGTTTCGGGGGTTAGGAGACATCTGGTCTCATGTTAGTAACATTTCAGTTACCCTTACTGGTTACCTGGGCAATAATTTATTTTTTCCTTCATGATGCCGGGGTCATGATTTATTATTACATTGTATCTGGCCACATAAAAAGGAGACTCTGTGCATGGTGTCAGGGGACTTGTGTGGGCAGAAACGTTTGTATCACGTGTTCCACCATTTTCCAGTACTTTTGGATTTCCGGGCATGTCCACCAAATGTGGTACATTGTTCCTCTGTTCACACTGCACTTCCAACACTTGTCAGATGCATCCGGATGTATGTGTGCTATCCTGGTCGGTACTAAGTACCAGCGGTATTGTTTTTTGCTGTGTTGCTTTTGTGTGCTGTGAATGTTCTTTCCCACATTTCTGTGGTGAACTCAGAATTTAAGTATGCCAGGCCGTCTAAAAGCTTTCCATAGTTGTGCTTTGACTATTGAGGAGTGTGGCATAAGCTATAGACAAAATCCTTTTCCGTTGGTTTTCTGCCAGACACAGTAGCTTAAATCTGGATATAGTCGGTGTCTTCAACTTACGGGTGGTCGGCTGCAAGAGGGACTTGAGTTGGAGGTATGAAAAGATGGATCCATGTGGTGAGTCAAACCGAGTCTGGACGTCAGGAAATAGTTTTCAAGGTGATCTCTTGATATAGCTGATGTACATGTGTGCAACCTCTCGATGTCCACACATTGTGATCAAAGGTCGGATTACATAGGTGTACGGTATATAATGGGGCTGCTAGGGAGATCGGGTTTCCATGGCATAATTGTTTATGGTGTTTGTCCCATGTGTCCAAGATTGTCTTTGGGCGTAGGTGTAAAGATTCTAACGCTACCCACTGAAGGGGTCCCTGCTTTAGTGTGTGCTGTTACCAATGATCTTAGAAGGGCAGTACTTTGGTACAAAGTTAAGTCTGGTAGGCCCAGGCCCCTTTTGGAGATTGATTTCTGTAGTAATTTAGTGGCTACTCTGTTTGCCCACACAAATCTTGTGATAGATTTCTGTAGGTTGGTCAGGTATTGTTTGGGAAGCGGGATCTGCAGTGTTCGCAGTAAGTAAGTTTAGGGAGTAGTGGAATTTTAAACGCTGCAACCTCTCCCCTGCCATGATAAAAAGTCTCCCTTCCATGATTGGAAGGTTTGTGTGAGCTCTTGCTGAAGTCTAGCATAGTTTTGTGTAAAGAGGTGGTGCTCTGTTTTTGTGATACGTATGCTAAGAAATGTGATGTAATCCTAGACAGGATTACATCACATTTCTAGGCATACGTATCACAAAAACAGAGCATCAAAGTTGAATGACGGTTTCAGGGAATCTATAGTGTCATGGTCTATGTCCACGCCTAGAGCCTGGGTCTTCATCACATTTAATTTATGGTAGGAGAATTTCCGTATTCAGAAATTTTACACATTAGATTTGGGAGTGAGATGCGGGACTGGGTCAGCAAGATGTCATTGGAGAATAGGTTTGTGTTATACATCCTGCTGTTAATCTGGACTCTGTGAATGGATGTGTCTTCTCATATCAATGCCGTCATTGGCTCCAGCGCGAGCATGTATAGCAGCGGCGACAGGCGGCATTCCTGTCGAGTCCCGTTGAAGATAAAAAAAAACTTGTTTGATATAAAACCTCCTTTTAACTCTTGGGCCGCCGGCAGGGAGTAGAGGGCTGCCTACCATTTTTAATCAGATGAAAAGTTTAATAAAACATACAGCCGTATGTTATGTGTATCAGTGTATTTCAAAGCAACACAAAAATAAAATTCACAGCAATGTGCAGTGTTTAATTGTATTGCAGAGAACCAAAGAAATAAAACTCACAGTAAGGAGCTGTTTGCTTGAGTGTGATTGTGTTGGGGTTGGCTAAGTGTGATGGTGTGGTGGTGGTTTTGGAATGTGATGAGTGGGCATTGGAAAGGAGGGATTGTGTTTTGGGTTGGCTGAATGGGACTGGGTGTGAGAAATGTGTTTTTTATTTTTAGCGAAAAACAAAGAAACAAAATATCCCAATAAAATAAATAGTAATAATATAAAATAATAATAGATATCAAGCAGACACAGGCATCCAGATAGTCACAGGCAGAGGGAGACATTTTTCAAATTGTCAGTGACATCAAATTACGTCAAATTTTCTGCATAATTTATTAAAACTGTCACATTTTCTCATTGTTGCTACTTTTGCACCCTAACTGTAATTTGAATATACCCCTCCCCTTTTTATTTTTAACAATGCAAAGCATTTAGCAATCTTTCCACCTCATTTTCTGACAGAAAAGTAGTCTGTTTAAATTAACTTCACTTTTAGAACACTTTAAGCCCATTCCTGACGTTAAAACTTTCTTCCACAGAGTGGGCTTTTATGCTGTTAAGGTGGTATGGAACGTCCTAACATTTTGGTGTGAGCAGGGTTAAATCCCTGCTAACACCAGGGACTCCCAGGTATCAGTTGAGGTCTCCCCTCTGTCAGCTGGAACCATATTTAGAGACCGCACACTAGCATGTGAGTTGTATGCAGCGCTCAAATTGAGCTCTGCATTCAGTCGTTTAAATGGGGTTTGAAATCCCCATTGCTGCAACATGGTGTGAGCAGGGTCTGTTCCTGAACCTATAGTGTTAAACCCACAATCTAGCCCCCATTACCCCCTTGCCCTCCTAAATACTGTATAGTAAAAGTTTACTTTTATTCAAGTCGGCAGCTGCTGCCTCTGCCCCTGATCTGCCAGCTTGGCTGACATCATCAGAAGCGATTTTCTGAGCCAATCACAATGCTTTCCTATAGGCTGAGACTGTCAAGGAGGCAGATCAAGGGCAGAGCCGGCAAAAATCAAACACAACCCTGACCAATCAGCATCTCCTCATAGAGATTCATTGAATTAATGCATTTCTATGAGGAAAGTTCAGTATCTCCATGCAGAGGGTGGAGACACTGAATGGCAGTGCTGTACAGTGTGCAGCACTGCCCCTGGAAGCACCTCTAGCAGCCATAGGAGGAGTTGCCAGAGGAGCTATCCTAGACTGTGATGTAAACACTGCATTTTCTCTGAAAAGACAGTGTTGACTGCAAAAAACCTGAAGGTAATGATTCTACTCACCAGAACAAATCCAATAAGCTGTAGTTGTGCTGGTAACTATAGTGTCCCTTTAAATCCCTGCTCACACCAGTGAGACCCATTTATCAGTCAAAAACTGGGGCTCCTCTCTGTCAGCTGCTGCCATATTTAGTGACCCCGACTCACCGATGAGCTGCATGCAGCACACTCAAAGTGAACACTGCATACAGCCCTTTAAATCAATTGAGGACACCACAGCTCAGTACGATTGCTCAGTGATTTACGGGTGGCAGGTGCTCAAAAGAGATTTTGGCAGGGACCCCAAGCATTCATCAATCCTGATTGTGATCAGTGCTTAGCTTTTCTAGCTGCAGCATTGATCACAGTGTAATCAGCTAAAAACATGCTTGATTTCCATATTAGAGGGAAATCTACAGTAACTGTAATGCTGAAATTAGCCAGTAGATGGAGGTCACAGAAAGCTCTCTACTGTTTCAACTAGGAACCGCACCTGTTAAAGGGACACTATAGTCACCTGAACAACTTTAGCTTAATGAGGAAGTTTTGGTGTATAGAACATGCCCCTGCAGCCTCACATGTCC